ACAGTTACGGAAAATCATAATTAAAATTAAAACAGCTAAAAAAAATGTTATCCTTCACAGAGATATAATCAGAAATCTAACTGACTAAAGTTAATCCATACATGGTGATATATATAACAAAGGCATTCTGGCATGAATCTCAGGTTTGCAGCTTCTCCCCAAATTAAAAGATAAAGTCCCATGTAGAGCAATTTACGCTGCTGAACCTCTTGTTGAATAGTCGGTAACCTTCAAATGCCAACAAGAGGATAAGTAGACAGGAAGTATGAGGCATATAATATGCAGCATAAGAACTCAAATCTTTCTTTTATTTTGGTAAGATAGAAAAAAGTATGAAAACTCTTTGAGGCGTTACAATAAGGAACCCTCACCAAAGGCTGCTTTTCCGACCCAAATATTTGCACCACTTTTTGTAGTTTCTGAAAAGTTTCTTCATCACTATGGTCAAGGCACGATCATCCAACTAGAGAAAATATTGTACACAATCCCTTAGCGCAAGTACAACTGCCTAGGCAGAGAGCAAAAAGGAAATCATGAGATCCAAGTCCAACAAAATGCATACCCTTGGTTGTTGATCAGGTTTTGGAAATTGTCGGATGTGGACATTAGCAAGCAACAAGATCAAGTGCTCTCTTTGATTCGCAACATTATCTTTCTGCAATTTAAAGGTTGAATAACATTCAGTACAGACAAAAACTCTTAAGTCAAATAATCAAAACAGGATATTCGTTAACATCACCTGAAAACCAAACATAGACTGAAGCCAGTCTAGAATGTCTTCGTCCAGTTTCTTCTTGTGACCAGCTGTCCATGGTAAGCCCCTTGTGTTTCTAAGAGCGGCAACAGCAGCTTGTATCTGCAGAACAGTATTGAAACAGATTGGTTGGACTGAAAGACAATAAAACAGAAAAATAAAAGGTAAGGTGAGTAGCTGGATAACCTCAGGCAATCTCATTATAGCCTGATTCTGACTATCAGGGTCAAGGGGAAGTATATTGTAAGGCACGTAAATCTGGGTCTTCTCTTCGACCTTATTGTGCGTTTCCAAAATCTACAGCAAAAAAAAGGATGATCAGAAACAATTTTGATTAACTAGATCATGAGAATTTCACAGACGAAGCATTTGTAACGACTCGCACAAGAATGGAACTATAAGATCAATACTACATTGCATTATATCTACTATCAGCTTCACCTCATCAGCCACTTCCACATCTTCTGTCTGATTAACAGCCTTCAAGACTTCAAAGAGAACGGCAGCAGTTTGATAGGCCTTAGTAAGTTGAGCACTGAAGGTAAAATATTGTAAATATGAGTGGGAAATGCAGTAAGAGGTAATGTTGCTAGAAACACCGCGGATTTGAGGGAACATTTCATTTAAACACAAACCGGTCAGCTTTATCAGCAGCGTTTAGCAAAGCTTGGATGTATTTTTTGTAGTAGTGTTGATAGAAACTCTGCATTTCACGTGCATCACTCTTTTGCCTTCCTGCCAAAGTCGTTTCATTCTCCTGGAGACATAAACGGCATGAGTTCAACAATTAACACAACATGTTAGTGAATCAATAAAGTGCAACACTTAACACAACATGTTAGTGAATCAAAAAAGTGTTTACATCCATTTACCCTTTCTAATCGTTGAAGAAGTGCGGTCTTAAACTGACGAACACCACGACCACTTGAAGTTGGATCAAGCCTATGCGCCTTCTCAAATGCGTAGAAACGACCTGGTAAGTAACATCATCATCCAGAATTTTATTATTCAAGATCATTTAAGATGAGAAAAGAACTTATCTTTATCATTCACAATCAAGTTAGTGAAACTGTCACAACTCACATAGGTAAGCAACTCGGGGATTACTAGCTTCAACTTCATTAGCAACACGAAGAATCGGAGCAATCTCAACTAAAGAAGATGGCACGACTTCACTATCAAGCATAGCCTCTCCGAGACTACCAACAGTCTGAGTCCGCAGAATCCGCCTCTGCGGTGGAGGCGGATCAGGTTCCCTTCTTAGAGACATCTTCTAAATCTTCCGACAATCAAACTCAGCTACCAAATTAAAATACTTGTCAAAAAATCCTTGAGAGACTTGTGAACTCAAAAAACAAACAAACATAAGCGATAGAAAGAGACTAGGATCCAAAATAATATCCAAAACAGTAAGATTTACTTTAACAAAGAAGCGAATTCGGATTCATCCACACAAAAGCTAACAACACTGTACGCGCAATAAACGCGAAAAGCTGTTTTCTTTCTATAAAGAAAGATAAAAGATCCAACGAAGCCCCCAAAAAACAGTAAAGTAGCCGACGATGTAAAAGCACAAACAGATATTATAACTACTCAATTCGACAATCCATAACTAAATTACTGGTCCTAAAACAGAAAAGGATTAAACTTTCAAAGCTTTAAAACAATCTCCAATAGAAAAATCGAAATTGGGTTACACGACCTAGAAAACGGAAGAGCATCTAGTCTCACTCAAAAGTCATGTCAGTCAAAGTGGAAACAAATTTAAAACCCTAGGAATCAGAAAAAAGACATCCAATTTCGTTTTTCTCGGAGTTGAAAAGGAAAACCCAGAATCTGTTAAACTCAAAAACAGACCCAGAGATTTAAGAATCACCTGACGACAAACAGAGGAAGAGAAAGAGAAGCAGAGGACGACCCAAAAATCTAAAACAGCATCAGATGCGATATAGCTACTGTAGTATTAAAAAAAACAAAGCTTGCATCTTTGTTAAACGGGTCACCGGCGACGACAGTGGAAGAGAGGAGAGAGAAAACGCCGGAGAGGAAAGCAACGGCTACGAGACAGGCGCCAAGTTTATGTATAGGTAGACTTTCCTTTTTTGCAGCTTTTCCTTTTCACCAATCATAAACTGCCACGTCAGCTTTACGTATTATATTTTAATATATAACGTCATAAAATTTTGGAAGCTGCTGGGTCTTTTTCCTGTGTATTATGTGTCTGTGACAATAATATTCGACAATTTAATAAGTATAAAAAGACTTTTGGACTCTCTACATAACTTTATTTTTGTTTAGTCATGATTAAATATTGGGAGATATGATGTCTTTTGCTCTTTTGGATCATCAATTTTGAGCAAAGAGTGTTTGTTGAACTCGAATATCATCCAACGTAATTTTCCTTCGAATTTTCTATATTAGTGAGTTTAGTCATGCGCTCCTTTGTAAGATGTGTGGTTGTTGATTTTCAGAGACCATCCAACTTATTTTCCCTTGGAATTTCCAACAATCCAAAATAAAATTGTAAAGTCATCAATCCAATCGCTTCTTTTCTCACATTAAGACAAATATAGTTATCAACTATCAAAATATTATTATTCTATTAAGTGTCACGTCCAAATTTGTCCATTATTCAAAAACAGTGATGTGAGATATTATTCCTTTTTTTATCGCTAGATGCACATGATTTAACTCAACTTAATCCTTATGATGCTCTTACACAATATCATTTTGTTTGGCAATATGAAAACGTATTAAAGCAAAACAAATACTACTTGATGAGTTCCAAGTGGTTTAGATGAAAAAACATCGAAGACTCAGTCGAGATAGAATCTTCCCACCATCTATAGTATAGAAAAGTAGCTTTTAATTTTTCCTCTTGGAAAAAATTTACCAACAAAATAATAAAAGTGAAACGAAACATCAAACAGATTATTCGTCAATATTTCAAAAAAATTTGGAGTCATACTTTATAAGAAAACAAACATGAAATTGCAAGTAATAACTTTTTCGTGATGCCTTTGTTAAAGAGACAATGGACCACTCTAACTAGAATTATCTTCTCTCTTACTAAAAAATAACACATTTACGTTTTTCACCGTTCATATGTTTACATACGTACACATTATTATTTGATCACTTATTGTCACCACGTCATTTTTTTTTGTGTGGATATAACTCATCTTTGATGAAGTGAAAGTGATCGCTAGTTCGCTACTCTCTTCTCGCAACAAGTTGTCACTACTTAACTTATTGTCTATCGATGTGCTCCGCAATTAAGGACGAAGCAGGTCTGCAATTTCTGGCGATTTCCTTAAACCATTTAATACAAATAAAAATGAGTTCACAGAAAAAAAATATTATTGAAGCTTTGTATATATATGAACAGTTCCAAAAAGATATGCATAAATATATGGTGACAGAGCTCAACTAACTTGCTGACGTATTGTTTTTCCAATTTAACAAGGTCTCACGTCATTTTCTTGTTTTTTTTTCTGACGTTTGAAACTATATACTAATTTAATTTAAGATTGCATGAGAAGATAGACACAAAACATTATCCCATATAGAGCTCGTATTATTTTTCCCAGCAAAGACGATAGGAAAAAGGCATTGTGAACTTGACCAAAATTTGCTTTCAGCTTTCATTCTTTTTTTTTTATCACTGTGAATTTGTTCAGATAAACATTCTAGTAACTCATTTAATTTATAGTAGAATTTATAAAATTCACGGCTCGATTGGATGGAAAATGTGATTTTGCAAATCATTTTTTAATTATCATATTTGACTAGTCTGCTAGTTCGTATAATTATTGGAAGATATTAAATGATCAAAGTGGTCATGGAGATTGTGATATCCAACCATAAAGATGGGCTTGATTCTATGAATATCATCTTGGTTGAAGCAACATTTCAGTTTCAGACTGTGAATTTAAAGTATTGACTTCTTTTTACACATCTCACATCGGTTAGGACTTACGAGTGACTTATCAAGTCACATGGGGCACCTCACTTATAAGCAAGATTCTGGATGGGGTTCTACCTATGGGCCTTGTTGGGCTGGGTTAGATTCCATCACAATAATGATAGCATTTATGTGCAGGGCTGTATAAGATTAGGACTTGTTGCAGATTAAAACAGTTTTCAGATCTTAAGATTTGATTTCGAAACCATGTTAGTCAATAATTTCTCTGTTCAAAAGCAGCAGAAACAGAGTCCCCTTAAAATTTATTTGAAAGATATTATTATGAACAAAAAGAATTTATAAAGAGATAACTAAATAGTACATAGACTCATAGAGTATGTAAGTTCACTAACCAATTTGGCGATGAAATTACACATAAAGGAATTTGAATATTATCTAACAAGCAAAAACTAGCTTCACTAAACCAATTGAATCATATATTTAGATGTCCGATGGTGATGGTGATGATGAAGGAGAAGCAAGAGAAGGCCCCATGGCAGAAGGAGACATCTCGCCGCCTGCAGGCATGTCTTGAAGAACAGCCAGAATCCTACGGATGCTGATGGATCTCGCTGACCGGAAACTGTAAGCTCTCTTCATCGTCTTTGACGTAGAGAAAACACTCGATGATTTAGAGAGAATGAGATACACAAGCCCTTGAATCAGAGCAAAAATGCTCACTTTCATTAGCATGCCTTCAAAGCTTCCTTCCATTTATGTTTTAAAGATTTAGACAATAATAGTTGGTACGTTGACTTTTTTTGTTTGTTGCTGTCTTGAGATCGATGAGTTAGAGATTGATGTTTCTAATCAGGCAAAGTCACTTGTTTATATAGAGAACGAAAAGAGAAGATGGCCTTATTTGACCAGAGGTAGAGACCTCGAAGCTACAAAATAAAAGTATTATAATTTAATTTAAGTTATGGCATGGAAGAAGATTTCCATTTAAACTTTGAATTTTTATCTGGTCAAAGTAGACGTGAGTGTTTTTTTTTTGTATATGTACTAGAAACAAATGCTAATTCAACCTATTGTACAAAAAAAAAAAGGTCAAAATTCTATCATCGGAAACAAAACGACAAAGAACATGTTGTCATGAGATACGTTTTGTTTATTAGACACGTTTTTATTTTCAGAAGAAAAAATCAAGAGTCTCTAAAGACATCAATATTCAAATTGTCAATTTAGATGATCCAAATCCACTTTCTGACTAAAAATCAAGCTCCATGGTATTCAAACAGAATTTCACTGAACTAGCAAACAAATTATCCGCATTTATCACTCTTTGAGAGTAGTCCTCAATACACGTTGATGTCCCAATGGATTTCCAGGAATGTTTCTGCACCGTTGCTGCCTCGGTTTACCGGTATTATTGCCTGTCATCAAATCATTATTCGCCGATGAATTCTTCATCCCTCGACATAATTTCATGTGTGAATGCATCTTCTCAGGTTTGAACAACTTCCCACATTGCCTATATTATGAATCATAAACGTCACGATACAGATTATGTTGTGAACATAGGGAGTGATAAAAAGGAGGGGCTTACGAGCATAATGGAGCAGCCATGGAAGGCTTGCTTGAAGCAACCTTTGGTTTACAAAACTCAATTGTCTCTTTCATCTTTATGCCACTCCATGCTCCTTCAAAGCTTTTTCTATAATATAAACCACACAAAATGAGAAATCTCGTTTTTACCAATTTGATTCAGTTATTATATGGTATAGAGATAATATTATATGATTTAGCATGAGAAACCGGCAACAAATAAAGTAAGGATTTTTAGTTAATATATACACATACACCAAAGATTAGTCCCAATCATATGTGGCATTAACAGCTAAAAAGTAACTAATTTTAGGAATTAAACGATTTTTGATTAATTGAATAAAAATATGAGTAATGAGTACTTTGGAGCGTACCGAGCATTGTGCTGTTGGTGGTATTGGTATCTGCGTTCATCTTCCCAAGCCGGACCAAAAGTCCCAGACCTAGACTTATTCAAAGGCACCAATACGGCATCGTTTGTATCCAAACCACCACACTTCATCAAGTTCCGTAACACGTGAGAGGCACGTACGCTTGAATATCTCTCACTCTTGATGTAACTCGAAGACGACGTCGTCGATGATACACTCGGTCGACCAGACTCCACATCGTTACCCGACTCGTTTTCCGTCAAACCGTCTCTTTGGCCGGAGACTTTTTTCGGATCTTGTTTCTTAAGAACGAATCCTTCTTCGTTCGTGGTGGATTCCTCCGTGACTGTCGACGTTGTTGCCGTCGATCTCTGTGAGCAGAAGACCGGAGACTCTTTTTGGATCTTCTCCGACCTTAGTTTCGACTTCTGGAGTTTTTCTTCAGCGTCTGTTTCGCCGTCACATCCGTTTCTTGTCACCCAAGCTTTCTTCTCCACATGAGGAGACTCCTCTGTTTTTGAAAAACCCTAATTAAGAACCCTAACAAACCAATAATCAAATATAGTAGTAATTACGTGACATACCTTTTGGAGAGCTTAGAAGAATCTCAGATCCTTTGAGGACATATTCATTATCTGAGATAGGAGTGATAAGATCATCGTCCAATAAATCTTGCCATACATAACCATTCTTATACCTCCTGCGATATATCAATTGATGGATAAGTAACGTAATCAAGAATGTGACAAAAATCAATCTTTTGATAAAGTTTTACCTCTTACAAGACCAGCAAAATGCGTCAGGCATCGCATCGCCTCGTGCGTCGGCTAACCATTTCTTCACATCTGCGTTTTAAGCACAATTTAGAAGAGATTGATCGAAAGATTAATTAGAGAAGGACTAATTAAGAAGAGAAAATTAACCTCGAAGAAAGACTCCATTACGAGAGAGATGATGAACACGCAAGAGATGAGGATGGTCAACGTGACCCGAACGGCTAAGGAAATAAACTAAATTCACTCTTCTTACTTCTCCTCCTCCACCATTACTTTCCATCTCTCTTTCTCTCTTTTTTTTTTGGTCTTCAATTTTATTCTCTGTGTCTTTTACAAAAGAACTTATATAAGCCAAAGCTACATAGATTTTTCAAAACTCTAAAAGAGTTTTCACTTCCCTGCTTTTGAGACAAGAAAGAGACAAAGGATCGGACTAAAACAAGGGCTTTCTTTCTTTGTTAACTTATATACACCCTTTTAAATTGATTTGTAGATAGAAAAGTTTAGCTTATTCCCAAAAAAAAATTGAATTTTGAATGTTATTAAAATATTTGAGTAAAAGACAAAAAGAAACAATGAGACATGTTTGTGGAGACAAAACCAAACATACGCATAGATAAAGATGAAAAAGTCTTTGCGGATTAACGGAAACCGCACATTTCTCGGACTACTCCAAAGAACAAATATAGGGTTTCGAGATCACTCACCCTTTTATTTGTTTTCTTGATAAAATATATCTTTTGATTTTCTTTCTCTTTTTTCTCTTTTAATGCTATGTTAGGGCATAAAAATCAGAAGAATTTACTGAAATATATCTTAAAGAGAAAAAAGGTTTAGTAAGAAGAGATCTGTAGGAGAGTTTTATGGGTTATGGTTAAATTGGTCTTAGTCTATGTAAAGCTAAAAATAGAAAGAAGATAAAGTATTCTCAGCAGATTTATCGTGATTTAGCAACTTAACATATACATACACCTAGCTATGAGCAAAAAGAATGGTATTTTATACGCAGAATATTTACATATATGGTATGAGATGTTTTTGAATATCCAATTTTTTAGTTCTTACCATAACGACAATTCAGAAGACCAAAAAAAGAGCATAAACAAATCCCGAAAATTGATATTTGTACTTCCGTAGTCTATTAAAGGGAATGTTGCATAGTCTAGGGATACGGAATCGAAGATGGAAAGAAAAATGATTTATTTGCGGTGTTATCCCTTAACATGAATATACTATTTTATTCCTTCGATATGTGAAAATTTCTTTAGATTCTATCCGTAAGAATATAATTGAACAGAGTGAAAAACATGTTCAATATTGGTTTTGAGAGCATTAAAATTGATCATTTTCTCATTGTAGAAAATGGCAAATTCTCCAAACTGAATTCAGTTACATTTTTCAAGACCATTCACATTTTCATCATTGGCTAATAGAAAGAAGAAGATTCAAAGAGCATATATGTATATAACTCATTTACCTATGAATTCCATATTGATGTTCCTCTTCATCATCTTCATCTTCTTCTTCATACATAGACTTCATAAATGGCTCAGCATCACGAGGTGTCTTAGCCCCACCACCAACGGGTTCTTGATTGTTAACGGTAGCACCGGCGACCGCTCCCACAACGGTTGTTGCGGCGGCTGCTGTGACTGCAGCTTGTCTTTTAGTGGCAGAGTATTGTTGAATGACTAATACCGAAGCATGCATTGTGAAATTCGACGAAGCTAATGTGTCCCCTATTGTGCCTAGCTCAGGACTACTGCTCCAATCGTTTAAACCGGCAGTCACCGGAGTTTCTGAGTTATATCCTCTTCCGACAACGTAAAGATCATAAGAATTGTTGTCTTCCATTTCTCTGATCGTAGAGATCGTGTCTTGACCATCGTTGACCACTTTTTCGATATATTTAACGGAAGAATCATTCATTGTCTTGAAATTAAATTCGTAGATGCACTCATCGTCGACTTGTTTCTCCCTCTCGTACTCCGCCGCAACTTTCCCGGACGAGATTAGAGCTTCGCGTCCAGGGACGAATCTTACCACAGTGAGTTTAATCACGTGTTGTCCGACCATTCGCCAGGCGTATGATAACGCCTCGCGGTCGTCTGGACCACCCACGAAGAGCATTGCAACTTCTCTTTTCATTGCTTCACCACGGAACGACTCAGACCGGACCATGGCCATACCACGGTCCACTAAAATCCCGACCGAGCAAGGGGCGTGGCTCAAAACGTTTTGGTTAATTTCAGCGTGAGAAGAGTTTCCTTCTCCCATCCGACCGTCCGGTGTCAAGTGTTTGTGGTAAGGCAATATGATGAAACAAACTCTCTTGTCCTCGGCTAACGCGCAGATGTCTTCGTGCATAGTTGCGTAAGGAGAGACCGCGGTGATGGTCTGAACCGTCATTGCGTCGTTGTTGACTTCCATAGCTTCGAAGGTCTCAGCGATTTGGTCGGACTCTGCCCTGACTCTGTCCGAGAAGTTAGCTTTTGGTTTGCATTCGTCGTTCATGATTAGCAGCGAGGCCGTGGTTCGACCGGTGAGCTCCACGAGGTGAATGGCGAAAACGCTGAGAGGTGATTGTTTGGTTGGGTTTGAGACTTGTAAGAGATTGGTGATCCCAGAGACATTGGGGAGTATATGGACGCAAGCTAAGACGCGAAACTCTGTTTCTCCTTTGATCTTTTGGACCGTACGGTACTTGTAATGAACAAGTTTTTTCTTGGGCTTGTATGCAACCGCGAGAAGAGGCTCGACGACTAGTGACATCACTAGAAGCGCGATCGTCATATGAGTATACATTGGACTATCCAGCGCCTGCAAATGGTTTTTTTAGTTGGAGAATTTAAATAAAATTGATCATAACGCTGGAATTTCACTTTTTTTTAAAAAAAAACAATGAAAATTATTGCTGACAAAAACAAAAATAATTTATTCTATGAGTAAAATAATGTTTAGAAGAGTAATGATTAATGAAAGATTTCTCTATGGTTCATGTTTCACTCACTTATATCGTATTCAACTTTATATTTCCCTAGGCTGGGAAAGTGTCATATGCAATAAAAGAAAGTTGATTGATTGATTAGTACCTTAGTATCACGACCAGCATTAAGAACGACCAGCGATAAAGTTCCCTTGGTGTTCATAAGGGCTCCGATAGCGAATGCGTCACGCATAGGCATATGCATGAATAAAGAGGTGACCACGGTAGTCACGATCTTTACTAAGAAGGAAGAACAAATGACTACAACCATCATGAACTTGTCAGTGTAGTCGAGCATGAAACCAATATCTGCTCGTAACCCACAAATGATGTAGAAGAGAGGCATAAGGATCCCGGAGAGGAAGTCATGGAGCTTCTCCTCGATCATGTTACGTATGATGTGGTCGTGCGGAATGGAGAGACCGAACAGGAATGCCCCGGTTATGGAGTGGACCCCGCATGCGTCTGTGATCAGGCCGCATAGGACCACACCTCCTAAAATGAACCAAACGTGGGTGTCTCCGACGTGACCTGCCTTCACGGTCTTGGAGAAGATCCATGCTATTCCCGGACGGATCACAAATATGCAGAGGAGGACGAAGATTGCGGTGACGACTATCACGAACGGCATAAATTTGTTCCATGTCCCTTTTTAACCACCAAAAAGAAAATAACAAACGAATAAACATCAGAATATATTTAAAGGTTGTAAGTTTTTGGGTATTAGTTTTGAGTTTTGGCGTGTGGTCCGAAATATTTTAAACTAATTGTAGGAAACTTTTACCTGCTTTGCTAAAAGAAGCGAACCCAAAAACGAGGAGGACCCATGTGCACAAATCAGTGATAATGGCTGCACACATGGCCGTACGGCCCATATCGGACCGCAAAAGCTTAAGATCCGCAAGGATCCTTGCCAGGTCAGGGAAGTTGGTACAGGCTAGCGCGACAGACCAGAAGACGCAACCAGAGATGATCTTGTCTGGATGGCCATTTCCCGGGAGATAGTAAAGAAAGGCACCAACAGGTAAAGCAACAAGAAGCCCCGCAAAGGCGATGATGACCGGTTTGAGCTCGGTGATCCGCACCATCCTCAGGTCCATCCCTAGACCAAGGAGGAAGATGTTGTAGACGAGAGCTAAGTTTGCGAATGTCTCAAGAACCATTGTGAATCTGTAGGGGAATACATGGGTGACTATGAAAGGTGCGCTCCCAAGCACACTTGGGCTAAATAATAATCCACACTGCAAAAATAAAATCACAGCAAATTAAGACACGGAACTAGAGAGCCAAAAAAACTGACATAGCAAAATTTGAGAGGAAGTTTGCATACGCACTAGGATTTGAGCTACGAAAGGAGGAAGATAAAAGGGTCGGGTTATATAGTAGAGGACGCGATAGCTAAGGTTGGCGACAAAGAGTTGCGTTATGAAGAACGGAAGGGAAGAGGCGAGCGTACTTCCGCTCTCCCATCCCTTTTGTTCTCTCTTCTCAAAGAGAAGACTTTGATCATAACACACAATTTTTCCAAAACGCGATATCTCAATATCATAGCTAGGATTCGTCACATTAAGGGGGGCTCCGGAAGACATCTCCTCCTACGATGGCTGGTCGGAAACCCCAAAAAAACAATAATACTATGTGTCTGAACCCAACGTTAGGTTCAGACAAAAAGTTGGGTTCATATAGAAGTCCTAACTGCAAAAACAACTAATATGCAACCTCTTTTAAGTTTTCAGACTTGATGGCTAATTATAGATGATGTATTAGTTGTCATTGGGGAATTAATTAACCACTCATTTTAAAATGGAATTTTCTTTTAAATTGGACTTATCAGATTTATGTTTTTGCTGTTAGTAGCTTTTTTAAACGGCTGGTTGAAAATGAACACTTGATTCAACACATTTTTGTCCGATTTCTAATTGTGCAACATACTTACGGTTACAGATTTTGGTCTTATTTGATAACGACGACTCTTCCTAATTCAGTTTGGATCTTTAGAATACTATCGATTACAAATCTACTAATAATGACATTATTTTAAATAAAAGTTATAGATATTATCATTACAAACAGCCAGAAAGGATAGTCTAATATTTAAATTGTAATCAAAGGATAAGAAGATTTTTTTTTTTTTTTTTTTTTCCCATTTAAAGAAGATACTTTAAGAGTTCACAAGACTTTTTAGAGTAAAGACTGAAGAAGATGACTGACTTTTAAGAGTGAAGCAATTTTTAGATTCCTAAGTCAAATTCTCCCGGAGAAGCTTCTGTGAATGACAATTGCTAAATTTAAGGGTAATCCTCTGTTACAATTTCTCTCTTCGTTTTCAGTTTTCGTTTTTCTGCAATTCCAATTAGTTCTCAGCTCTCTGTGCTTACTATGGAGATTTGATAAACAAACAATCAGATTGGCTGAAGAACCCCATTTGTCATCTAGGGTTTGCTTCAGAATGCTTTTGATTCATTAAAGTTCAACACTTAATGCACCTGGGATCTTAATGCTGCTTCTTGTTTACTCTGATCCATTTACTTGTCTTTGAGTTTTGATGCTGTTGTTGTGATCTGTAATGCATACTTCAATTTTCTTTGCAGATTTTGGATACCAATGATTGTTGAAACGCTTTGTGTTTAAGAGTCCATTAGCAGTAGATTGATTCAAGAACAAACCATGCTTACTCTTTCCGAGTTTCATGTGATACCATTACTCTTCTTCATTACGTTTCTTTCGCCATTGCTCTCCACTGCTATACCTATCAACATTTGGCCAAAGCCGAGATTTCTCTCATGGCCTCAACATAAAGCCATTGCCCTCTCTCCAACTTTCACCATCCTTGCTCCTGAACACCAATACCTTTCTGCCTCTGTAACACGTTATCTCAACCTGATCCGCTCTGAGAATTACTTGCCTCTCATTAACCATCCTGTCAAACTTATGAAAGGTTACACCTTGAGGAACCTTGTAGTCACTGTTACCGATCTTTCTCTTCCGCTTCACCACGGTGTTGATGAGTCTTACAACCTTTCCATCCCCATTGGCAGCGTTTCCGCCCACTTGCTGGCTCATTCGGCATGGGGAGCTATGCGTGGCCTTGAGACATTCTCTCAGATGATTTGGGGAACATCTCCTGATTTGTGCTTACCAGTTGGAATTTATATTCAGGATTCTCCCTTGTTTGGCCATAGAGGTGTTTTGCTTGATACATCGAGGAATTACTATGGAGTAGATGATATAATGAGGACAATTAAGGCCATGAGTGCAAACAAACTCAATGTGTTCCATTGGCATATTACTGATTCACAATCTTTTCCATTAGTGCTTCCTTCCGAACCTTCACTTGCTGCAAAGGGATCTTATGGACCAGACATGGTATACACTCCCGAGGATGTCTTAAAGATTGTTCAGTATGGTTTTGAGCATGGTGTTAGAGTACTTCCTGAAATAGACACTCCTGGTGAGTCAATTCTTGATTTGCTCTTGTACAAGAAATTAGCTTGGTTCTAATGGATGCTGTTAAACTCCACAGGCCATACAGGATCATGGGGAGAAGCGTACCCGGAAATTGTGACATGTGCCAATATGTTCTGGTGGCCTGCTGGAAAAAGTTGGGACGAGCGGTTAGCTAGTGAACCTGGGACTGGTCAGCTTAATCCCTTGAGTGCTAAAACATATGAAGTTGTTAAAAACGTCATAGAAGATGTCGTTAAGCAATTTCCAGAATCTTTCTTTCATGGAGGTGGAGATGAAGTTATCCCAGGCTGTTGGAAAACCGATCCTGCAATCAATTCTTTCTTGTCCTCTGGTGGAACACTAAGCCAGCTTCTTGAAAAGTACATAAACTCGACATTACCTTACATCGTGTCACAGAACCGCACAGTTGTTTACTGGGAAGATGTTCTGTTGGATGCACAAATCAAGGTGGATCCATCATTTCTTCCTAAAGAGCACACAATCTTACAGACTTGGAATAATGGTCCTGAGAATACAAAGAGAATCGTAGCTGCTGGTTACAGAGTAATAGTCTCTTCATCAGAGTTCTACTACTTAGACTGTGGTCACGGCGGGTTTCTAGGGAATGATAGTATATATGATCAGCAAGGAAGCGGTGGTGGGTCATGGTGTGCACCATTCAAGACGTGGCAGAGCATATACAACTATGATATAACCGATGGTTTGCTCGATGACGAAGAGAGGAAGCTGGTGCTAGGAGGAGAGGTTGCGTTGTGGTCAGAGCAAGCTGACTCGACGGTTTTAGACTCACGGCTTTGGCCACGTGCCTCTGCGTTTGCGGAGAGCTTGTGGTCAGGGAATAGAGACGAGAGAGGTGTTAAGAGATGTGGTGAAGCCGTGGACCGGTTAAACCTGTGGAGGTATAGGATGGTGAAGAGAGGGATTGGAGCTGAACCTATTCAACCATTGTGGTGTTTGAAGAATCCTGGAATGTGTAATACAGTCCATGGTGCTCTTCAAGATCAATAAAAGGAGAAAGTTTCGAAATTGGATCCGAGTCAAAGAAAGCAGAAACATGCTCTTGAATATTCTTGATCAGGCTCTTTTGATTGTTGTACTTTGTTTTGTAGTTGTGGGTTGTAATACTCACATGCTAAAGTTTGTGGGGGTTTTCATCAATAGTTGAAAATTATGGGGTTAAAGTGTAAATCTTCTTTATTTACCGTACTACGAAAAAATGTCACAATCTCTTCCAAAGTCTCTGCATTTTCCATAGCTCTTACGAGACTGAACTTGAAAGAGATCCCTACAATCCGATACTGAAATCTCCAGGTACACTTTGAATCTATCTGTGGATATTGAAAAACCCCAACTTTCATTAGGTAGATGAAGAAATTTGTTTAATTTTGGTTTCTAGGGCTAGACTGTTGACGAGATGATGCTTGTGCAGGAAATCTGAATCCTGCACAAGACTTATCATGAGTGTTAGATGGCCAAGAGTTCTAACGCCAAGTCTTCTTTCTCAAATCCTAAAGAAGCAGAAGAATCCAGTAACCGCACTTAAACTTTTTGAGGAAGCGAAAGAGAGGTTTCCGAGTTACGGTCACAATGGCTCGGTGTATGCTACCATGATTGACATTCTAGGTAAATCTAACCGTGTGTTGGAAATGAAATATGTCATTGAGAGGATGAAGGATGATTCTTGTGAATGTAAAGATTCGGTTTTTGCATCGGCTATTCGTACATTCTCCAGAGCTGGAAGGCTGGATGATGCCATTTCTCTTTTTAAGAGCCTTCATGAGTTCAATTGTGTGAATTGGACTCTATCTTTTGATACTCTTTTACAGGAGATGGTTAAAGAATCAGAGCTCGAAGCTGCTTGTCATATATTCCGAAAGTATTGTTATGGTTGGGAGGTGAATTCTCGAATAACGGCTCTGAATTTGCTTATGAAGGTTCTTTGCCAGGTCAATCGCTCTGACCTTGCGTCTCAGGTTTTTCAAGAGATGAATTACCAGGGTTGTTATCCGGACAGAGACAGTTACAGGATTTTGATGAAAGGGTTTTGTCTAGAGGGGAAACTTGATGAAGCCACGCACCTGTTGTATTCAATGTTCTGGAGGATCTCACAAAAAGGTTCAGGTGAGGACATTGTGGTTTATAGAATTCTGTTGGATGCATTATGTGATGCTGGTGAGGTTGATCAGGCTATTGAAATTCTTGGTAAAATCTTGAGAAAAGGACTAAAGGCTCCGAAACGATGTTACCATCATATTGAAGCTGGTCATTGGGAGAGTAACAGTGAGGGTATAGAGCGGGTGAAACGATTGTTAACCGAGACTTTGATCCGAGGCGCAATTCCCAGTTTGGATAGCTACAGTGCCATGGCTACTGATCTTTTTGAGGAAGGTAAGCTTGTTGAAGGTGAAGAGGTGCTTCTTGCAATGCGAAGAAAAGGCTTTCAGCCAACACCATTTATTTACGGTGCCAAGGTTAAAGCGCTGTGTAAAGCTGGAAAGCTGGAAGAAGCAGTTTCTGTAATCAATAAGGAGATGATGGAAGGTCATTGCCTTCCAACAGTTGGAGTATATAATGTTCTTATAAAAGGTCTATGTGATGAAGGAAAATCAATGGAGGCTGTTGGATATATAAAAAAGATGTCTAAGCAAGTCTCTTGTGTAGCGAACGAAGAAACATATCAAATTCTAGTGGATGGTTTGTGTCGAGATGGTCAATTTCTTGAGGCGAGTCAGGTCATGGAGGAGATGTTGATAAAATCACACTTTCCTGGTGTTGAAACTTACCATGTGATGATAAAAGGTCTTTGTTATATGGACCGGCGATATGAAGCTGTGATGTGGTTGGAAGAGATGGTTAGTCAGGATATGGTGCCGGAATCTTCTGTGTGGAAAGCTTTGGCTGAGTCTGTCTGCTTTTGTGCTATTGATGTTGTTGAGATACTTGAGCATCTAATTAGTAGCAAACGTTGATCATTTTCAAGATTGAAAAAAATCTTCAAGGAACTCAGTCCCTCGAGAATCTGTTCAAAGAAAGATGGAGAACTCAAAGTTTGGGTATTCGACTGGATGATATTTTGCTCCTGACTTGTATGAGATCAATGAGTCTACATGTTGATGCTTCATGTCTCATTATATCATTCTATTGTAAAAGTTTTTGTGAAATGTAATTGTTTCAATTAGTAACAGGTTTCGTTGACCATATTAATTTCATTTCTTGGTGACCTGTAATAATATAATACATTTAAAAATGTTTTATTTTACATAGAAAAATGATGGATTTTATAAAATAGGAAAAAATTTCAGAGGATGGAGTCGTTTGGGATCACTGCGTTTCGAAGTATGATAACGATTCCTTCTCTTATAACGTATCCTTGAGCTTCTCGGTTTCCTTCTTCAACATTGTCTCTGTTTATAATCTGTGAATCGTATTTATTTTAAGAAAAAGATAAAACTAAAGAAATTGAATTTTATCAATTGAAATCTATGTGTGTATATAGTTACCATAACGTTTTTACCAATCCTGGCATTTTTATCAACAATGGCTCTTCTTATGCGACTCTTTTCACCGATCCCTATTCGAATCTCTATCTTCTTCTCCTTCCCTTTTCTTCTCTCATCTTCTTCCATCTGTAAACACATTTTGTGACAAAAATATTGTTCTTGAACTTTATAATATGGTATTAATAGATCTAATTTTGATCCATGAAACCTGGTTTACCTCATAAATATCAGAACCGACGATGATTGAATCCTCTACAATCACTTCATCAGCGATTCTTGTTCTCATTCCAACCACCGATCCTCTGATGACACATCTCTGCACATACAAGAAGAGAACGAAATTCTTCAAGCTTTTGATTACAATGAGTACTGCTAGGGTTTCAAGGATTTTGAAAGAGAGTTTTGCAAATTACATCGAGAATGCAACCGTCTCCGATAATACTGTTGGTTATTACAGCTTCACTCATGGAGCTTGGAGGCAAACACCGAGGCATTGTGTATAGAGGACATTGTTTGTCATAGAATCTATAACTACAGAAACACAAAGAAACGTTGGCTTGAATCACAAGTTATCTTGTTAAGAGTCATTTATGTCTCACAAGTGTTTACATTACTTGGAGTCCGATCTACACCTCTTAATACTCTCCATGTTCGCTCTATAGTAAGCTCCAACGCTCTTCACATCTTCCCAGTATCCATCAAACATATGAGCTTTCACCTGAAAAAACAGAGTTTCAGACAAATCTATAGCTTAAGGATTGCTTCTTGAGTTCTTGTCTCTCTCCCTCTGTTAACATTTACCTTCATTCCTTCAGAGATTGCACCAGGAATGATTTCGCTGGCCAAATCTTTTGCTTTTATCAAACTTTCTCTCAGAAGCTTCACCATCTGTTCTCGACCAATCACGTAAATACCTGCGCTTGGGACAGAGCAAGAAGACGTTCCTTCACTCCTTGTTGTTGTTCTGTTCTCCACCTGCACTATAACATTAGTCGGCAGATGATTCTGAATCATACATAACATTCTAGAAATATCTCACTCACAGAGATCAAATCTTGTTGACCCTTGATAGTGAATCTAGTGACTAGATTTGTGGAATCAACTTCCATGAAACCGAAACCAAAGTCATGGTCTGTAACAGAGCTTAGTCCAACAATGGTTATATCCGCTCTGCTTCTTCTATGATCTTCGATTAGCGTCTTATAATCCATTTTGTAGAGATGATGCCCAGGAAGAACCAAGAATTCTGTCACTGGAAACTCTTCAAATACCCACAAGCATCTTCTTATCGCATCAGCAGTTCCCTTTTGTTAACATAGATAGAAATAGAGATTTCGTGAATAACACGAAACAGATCTAAAAACAGGGGAAAAGTGATTTTAAGTTATACTAAACCTGAAACCATCCTTGATCTTCCAGGCTCTGATAAGCGGCAATGACTTCAACGAATCTGTCTTTCCCGAGTCCAAATCCACTGTAAGCTTTAGAGAGATGTGAATTGAGAGAAGTGGAATTAAACTGAGTGATTGCATAGATTTTGGTGATGTCACTGTTGATGCAATTACTGATGACTGCATCAATAAGTCTGTAGTTTGCTGCAATGGGGATTGCTCCTTTGGATCTTGTTTTGGTCAGTGGATAAAGCTCAGTATCTGATCCTCCTCCAAACACTATGGCCGCAACACTCTGGTTCAAAGGAAGGTGCTGAGAGTTTGAAACAGAGAGGTTTGGACATGAGCTTGGAACGAAAAGCTGCTTCAAGTTATAGTTATGTATCCATTGATGATGATCACTACTCGATCTTATCATATGGAGATTGGTAAATTTGGTAAAAGAAGACGAAAAAATCTGCATTTTCGATTATGAGCAGAGATGATTCAAGAAACAAGAAAATTGGGTTTGAGATTTGAGAATATAAAGTGTTAGTTTTTGTTTTGGAGATTGAAATATGTGATGGTGAAAACCGTCCGACATTTTCTGTTGCAGACATATTTTAGCTTTGCCTTTGCTTGTGAAACTATATCTTCTTAAAACATCTTTAACTTGTCCTGTCTCTTAAGATTTGATTCTTAGCTTCTTCGTTTCTTTTCTTGTTTTGTTCGTTATTTTAAAGAGGCATATTCTTATTTTATTATATCTAATATATTCGATCTAAGCTAATTACAACAGAGAAAAGAGAGAAGAAAATGAAAAAGGAGATCTAGGAGAAGTTTTGAAAAAGAGGTTTGGAGATTCAATGTCTATATCACATGAATCATGTGGAAGTGGAAAACTCATATAAAAAATCTTATAATAAATATTTTCAAATAATTTCATAGATATATAAGAAATACCGTTTAGTTTTCAACGTATTTAAATTAATATTTAGATGTTTTAAAATAAAATATTTTGTATTTTAAGTCTTTTAGTTAAAATATTATTTTATTAAAAAAACACTAAGTGTTAAATATAGAATACGTGAAAACATGTTGAACTTATGACACCACAAAACTTACAGACCAAAAGGACGGGATGCTAATCCGGTTAGTTTTCAACGTATTTAAATTTAACATTTAGATGTTTTAAAATAAATACATTTTGTATTTTAAAAATTTAGTTAAAAGAAAGCATTAATTATCAAAATGGTTTGTCTAAAATATTTTAAAATTTTAGTTTTAAATCGGAAAAAAATCAAAAGTGAAAAACTTTTTTTTTTAATGAATTCCTTTGTATAATTATCCTTTATATATATAAGCGTACCTCATAATATAATTGCCGTGGGCTTCGTCGAAGCCGTCTCTGAAATATCATCATGTGCCTTGACCTTCACAAACCTCCCCCGCACGTGACCGGTTGGAGAAAGCTTCTCTCCGTTTGACCATAAGAGCCCAGATCGGATGTTGTAACCCATAAGTAAGACAAAGTTGCTTGAGTTGGATTTGATCGTGGAAATCTTCAAATTGCTTAATCATTCTTGTCGTTTAGAGTTTTTCACCGAGTCAGACCGAGTTGAGGAGGAAACACTTCTGTTGGATTTGCCAATTCGATTCGTGACCCGTTGAGCCACCATCCCGAGTTCAACCGATCTATGCGGATTCGTCAACCGTTTCAACGCCGAACGACTCGTCACAACCTCGCGAGTGGACTCGGTGAGTCCAATTGGAAACAGAGACACACATCCAAGACGGTGTGCCACTATTTTTTTGTTTGTGATTTCGAAGAATGAATTCTCAAAGAAGAAGTTATCATTATTTATAAGCAAAGGTTATGACATTGTCTCAAAAAAAAAAGGAAATTCCTTTTATCAAGAAAAAGGAAATCACTCAAAAACCAAAAAAAAAGAAAGGAAACTGATCATAACGGTAAGAAAAAGTTACCGTTATGGCGTTATCTGAGAAAATTATGTACTCACTTGCGTTTGCTTCATATGATTATACTTGTTCGTTCTGCTATATAACTAACTCTGTTTTTTTTTCGCTAGTCAAAATAGAAGAACGAGTGAGAATGGCAATTATACCCCCTCAAAGTCATCACGCTGTTTTACGAATCCTCGTCATAAAACTTTTTTTTTTTTTTTTCTTTTAACAGCAAAATAAAATCATCCATTTAAGCTAGAAGCGGGCGGTTCTCTACGGGAGAAAACCAGTCCGGTGTTGAGGAGCTTACATGGGAAAAAAGAGAATCGCATGCTCTTGTTTTCTTAGCGAGACAATCGGCACGGACATTGTTTAAGCGTGGAATAAAATCTAAAGAAAAACGAGGGAAACCAAGTTTTAAAACATTAAAATCTTCTAACTCCGAAGCAAAAGCGGGTCACTCATCCGGAGTGTCCAATAAAAAAAAAAGCTTTTACATGATACGTTGCAATTGAAAAAAGTTTTATTAAATTTAATTGCAACGTATCATGTAAAAGCTTTTTTTTTTTCTTTTAATACATTGAGATGATGATAATATATTGATATATACATTGAGATGATGATAATCATGTAAAGCTTTTTTTTCTTTCTTTCTTTCTTATGCTATACCGGTTTAATGTTTCAAAATTATATGTTTCATCAGTTTTATTTGTCTTGAGAGGTACAAGTGCACTAATAAAATAATCGTATCAAAAATCCTTAAAAGTCATTGATATCATAATGAAGCAAAACACCTAAAAACCATCTCGAGACTCCTAATGAGAATTTGAGAATCTAAATAAAACAAATCTGATGATAAATTTTTAAATTCCAAAAGCCCAAAAAACAAAGCGAAAACCTAAAACCTCCCTAAAAAAAAACCCAAGCTTACTTGTGCGGCAAGCCATCATTAGCTTTGTCCTTGATCACTAACGCAGGGCTTATCCTCTCGGATACGGAATTGCCGGACTCAGTTGGCGAAAGAGGAACCATAGCGATATAGAGCTGGTCATTAACGTGGAAAGACCAGAGGCGAATCTTATTACCTTCCTCTAGACGGCATTCTTTGACCACCTTATTCCACCCTGAAACCAAAATGTATAGAGGAGAGGTCCCCATGACCCATCTCCTCAAATTCAACTTAAATTCCCTTAGATCAGAAGCCACGAGTATCACGTCTACTCCTTCTTCACGTTCGTTATTGGCATGTTCTTCTATGATCCTTTTTTCAGCGGGGCTCAAGAAATCAAAATCTTTGATCTGGCCGAAAGGCATGGAGAGACGACGTTGACGTGATCCGACATCGGTTGCGGTCAGTTTTTTATTTATGAAATTTATAGGATTTTCTCCCTTCTTTACCCTCATCAACCTCACCAGCCACTCCGGCGTCGGCTCTCTCGTTCCAGAAGAAGAGGCTCCTGCATCAAAACAACCGTTGGCCTTGCGTTTTGCTTTCTTAGGTTTTTCTTCCGTTGGATGGAGCAAAAGAGAACATCTCTTGCGTTTTGATGGAGGTTTAGTTAATGGTTCATCAATAATATTGACTTTGGGAGGGTCTTCTTCAGTCACATTCTCCTCTAGTGCAGTAGTATAAGAAGAAGTAGAGATAGGAATCCTCAAGGTTCTCTTCTTTCGTGGAAATTGAATGAAAAATCTGTCTTCCCTCTCTATTGCCTCCACAACACGCTGTGTCGTCTCCACAGGCAGTGAGTGGCTCCACATGAATACTACCCATGATGCACCTTCTTCTTCATCTTCTCGACTAATCATGTTTATCCTTCTCGTACGATCCTTAAACGCGCCTAATTAATATGCCAAAACACACACATATATATATAGGGCAAGTGTTCTCCCAATTCTATTAGGATTTGGAGGTCAAATAGCCTAAGCTTTTTTTCCTGTTCCTATATGGATTAGCTAGAGAATTGAATTCGAGATTATCCACTTATTGTATTTTTCAAAAATTGTTTTCCTTCGTTTTTAATGAATAAAACAAATTCTAGTGTTAGCAAAACAAAAAGAGATTTTGATTAGGGTTTAAGGTTTAGCTAAAAGTGTTTTTATATAGGGAATTGGTTAAAAAAATATATATTCAGAGGTTTTGTTTTGCTTACGGATAATTCATAATTTTAATTAAAACCACTCACCTAAACCTAAAACCACTCTCTTACCTTTTGTTTAGCTTATTTCTTAGAGCTCACGTAACAAAAAGAAACGGTCATGATTCGTTGGACTAACATATATAAGGTATATAAAGGAGCCGATAGATAATAATAAAAAACAGAGCCTTTGACAAAAAAAAAAGAAAGAAAAACAGAGCCGGTATTGTGGAAGATTTTCCGGTTTTATAAACCAAAATGTCATGAACCATGTGGTAAAAATAACACTGAACCGGTAAAAACTTTGTTGAGAAATCTCTGTTGGCAATCGTTGCCAAAGCAGCATCATCATCTCTATTCTCTAATGTAGTAGTTCCGTCGAGAGGAAGAATTCTTCTGAGTAGAAAAATATGGAAAGAGATAATGGAAAACGTGATTGAATGAAATTCGATTTGTTTATATAATAAAGAAACAGCCAAAACAGAGGATAAACAAACCCACGTTTGCAGACTTAGGAAAAATAAACCTTTTTTATGAACTCTTTGGTAGGTGCTAGATCATAAATATTCCAAAAGACTCTTTTCTATTGTGTGTGAAAGCTCGGATTTAGAGAGAGATTTAGCTTTTTCCGGCATTTGGGTCCCTTAAAGTCTCCGCCTTTGCCGTGTTGAAGTCCGATGGCGATAGGAGACCGCAAGAAGATTATCATCGATACTGATCCTGGAATCGGTATATACTTATCTCCTTTTTATTGGATTCGATTCGATTCGGATCTCTGTTTCTCTACTTTCACTGCCCAACGTCTTTGAATCTTCTCGGATTTGAAAATTTTGGGTTTACTGGATTCTCTCTACTTAGTGGAACTACTTGGTTTTACTGATTCAGATTCTGGGAAATTAGAGATCTGAGTTTGATACATGAGTTTTTTTTTATTTGACTTTACTCAAGAGAGCTCTCATGAGTTTATTGTCACTGGATTTGATGATGTTGTAGATGATGCAATGGCGATATTCGTGGCTTTAAATTCACCAGAAGTTGATGTCATTGGCCTCACTACTATCTTTGGAAACGTGTATACCACTCTCGCCACTCGAAACGCCTTGCATTTGGTATCATTTTCTACACTTTTTTGTTCATATGGATCTCCTCATTATGAACTGAAATCAATAACATTTCTTGGTTTATCTAAATCATCATTGTTCTATATGCATATCTACTAGTTGGAGGTTGCGGGTAGGACCGATATTCCGGTGGCTGAAGGAACACAAAAAACTTTCTTGGTATGTTTCTACTTTATGGCCTTGGATTTGTTATTGTGATAAAGATTGATGCTATGTAATGTGTTTGAGATTCAATATATGTTTTCTAGTTCCAAAGCAGACAATAACGTTTTGGTCTGTCCAATATTTCTGAATCCAAACCTGATAAGCAAGTTTGTGTCTTTTTCACATGTCCTACCTCTTAGACTTTTTTTATTGATAACTTGTTGTCTTTTCTTCTGTAAAGAACGATACGAAGCTTCGAATTGCTGACTTTGTTCATGGAAAAGATGGGCTTGGCAACCAAAATTTCCCTCCACCTAAAGGAAAACCAATTGAAAAGTCTGGACCTGAGTTTTTAGTTGAACAAGCAAAGCTTTACCCTGGTGAAATCACGGTTGTTGCTTTGGGACCACTAACAAATATCGCGTTGGTAAGATGTTCTCATCCGCAATTTTCATTTTCCGGGCCTTACCTATCTCTATTCCTCCATATTGAAGATTTCACTACCTTGATGCAGGCTATTCAGCTTGATCCAGATTTTTCGAAAAATGTCGGACAAATTGTTCTTCTTGGTGGTGCATTCGCAGTAAACGGAAATGTAAATCCAGCTTCGGAAGCTAATGTAAGTTCCTTCACCCGTTAAAAGTAATGTGATCTTCGTACACATCATATATCACTTTCTATCAGAAATCTTCTTAAATTTTCACATCTTTTAAACTAATTTTCTTGCTAGGGTAGATTTTTGGCGATCCAGAAGCTGCAGATATTGTGTTCACATGTGGGGCCGATATAATTGCTGTGGGGATCAATGTGACCCATCAAGTTATTATGACAGGTTATCTTGGAAATTTGTTTTCCTGATTAGATGTTTTATATAGAAATATACAAATTCTGTCTACAGAAACGTGATGATCTTGATTGTTGCTTTTATGGCTCGAGGTTTTGATTGCTTGTTGCGACCAAGAACATCATTTAGTGAAACAGAGCTTAGTAATGACTCTTTTTTTTTCCCGGTGTTTCTGCTGGATTTAGCTAATGACAAGGACAAACTGGCAGCATCTAACGGAAAATTTGCTCAATATCTCTGTAAAATCCTTGATGTATACTATGATTATCATCTCACGGCTTACGAAATCAAAGGTATGATTTGATAATCATTTGTTTATAGACCCATTATGTTTGATCTTAACCTTTTTTTGCTTTTGCGGTAGGTGTCTACCTTCATGATCCTGCGACGATCCTTGCGGCTTTCCTTCCTTCTTTATTCACTTATACAGAAGGAGTAGCTAGAGTGCAGACAAGCGGTATCACTAGGGGACTTACTTTATTGTACAACAATCCAAAGAAGTAAGGTTTTCATACATACATTAATTATAGAGAGTCATGTGTGGTGATGGAACTAAAAACTTGTTGTTTTTTATGTGAACCAGGTTTGAGGAAGAGAATGAGTGGTCAGACAAACCATCGGTAAAAGTGGCAGTGACGGTTGATGCTCCTGCGGTCGTGAAGCTCATAATGGATAGGCTTATGGAGTCTTAGACCATCTTGGCTCGTTAATTAGTTATCTCTTTCTCTTTGATGTTTCATTTATTGTGAGCCATTTCTCTTGTTTCCAACACAAACTTTGTTGAAAATAAGGCTTTTCTTACTGCATTATTTTTACTCAAAATCATTTGAGTGCTTTTATTGTTTTAATCTTTATCAAAGCGAAATACTTATTTTACCAATTGAAGACCTACCAATAATAAAGTTTAATCTGTCCCATGATTGTGCCACTTGATCCTAGTTAGGAACATGACAAGTGGTAACATTTAAGACATTTTGATATTAATTACCGACAGCTGGAATAGAAGAAATCTTACACATTACTGAACTGTTGAATGGTATTATATCTTTTTTTTTTTTGTCATCCGAAATTAATTAGAACTCAAAAGAGCCATTCCTGAGGAATGTTGTTTCTCAGGAATGGCTCTTTTGAGTTCTAATTAATTTCGGATGACAAAAAAAAAAAAATATAATACCATTCAACAGTTCAGTAATGTGTAGTATGTGGAAAAAAACATATGAAAATGCATATTTCCAAAAATAAAATATACTGAAAAAGAAAAACATAACGCATGGATTCTCTTGACTTTTGCCATTAGAAAAATAAATGTTATCATGAAACTATATTGAAATAAAGATGCCATGCATTCGCATTTTGCACGATCTGCATGTAAGTAATTAAAAATCAAAAAATAAAGAAATCAGAAAACTAAGGGACCTAATAATAAATTCGTAAGAATAAAACAAAGGAACGTGAGAAGGACTGGGAGCATAAATATATAATAATAATCTCTCTCTTTGACTGCGTCTTCCTTGGAGAATCACAAAACATTCCATGAGTCTGCTCTCTGAAGAAGAAGAAGAAGAAGCAGACTCATGGAAACCAACAAAGACCAAGACTTTCGCTTCCGTACACTTGTCGTCTTCATGTTTCTCTCTTCTTTCTCTCTCCCACCACCACGACGTGCTCTCCTCTCATTCTCATTCTCTCTCTCTCTCACTCTCCCTTTTCTCTTCTTCGCCATTCGTCCCCATTCCCAAATTTCCTCCAGTTATTGAATTCCTCTGATCATCATCGTCCACCATGGACTCACCGCTAATCATCGAAGAAGAAGACGAAGAGGCGTTGGCTACGCTCGTCCCTGTTCCGCCTCGACGTAAAACGCATTCCTATAGCCTACAATTCGATCAAAAGCCACACCATCAGATCCGCAAACACAGCCTCGACGAGGTTCCTAGATCCGCTACATTAGCATCCGAAGCCGTTTATTTCGATTCCTCCGACGACGAATTCTCCACCGGAGGTAACATCACAGAAAACCCCGCTGATGAAACCAACGGCGTAGCTGAGGATTACATCATCGTCAATCCTCCTCCCAATGTCGGTGTTGGGGATGACGACACCGAGCCATTACCTGAATTCATCGGCGCTGGAGGCGGCGCCGGGATATTCAAGGTCCCGGTACGCGCGGCGGTGCATCCCGGCCGACCGCCGTGTCTTGAGCTGAGGCCGCATCCGTTAAGGGAGACACAGACTGGGAAATTCTTGAGGAACATTGCTTGTACGGAGACGCAGCTTTGGGCTGGTCAAGAGAATGGTGTGAGGTTTTGGAATTTGGAAGATGCGTATGAGGCTGGGTGTGGGATTGGTGGCCAGGTACGCCGAGGGGATGAGGATACGGCGCCGTTTCATGAGTCGGTTACTACTTCTCCAACAATGTGTTTGGTTGCTGACCAAAGCAACAAGCTTTTGTGGAGTGGTCACAAGGATGGCAAAATCCGGGCTTGGAAGATGGATCAGAGTTCTGTTTCTGATGATGATGATTCTAATCCTTTCAAGGAGCGAATCTCGTGGCTAGCTCATCGTGGTCCTGTCAATTCCATTGTCATTAGCTCTTATGGTTAGTTATTTTTGATTTAGACTATGATTGTGGGGATTGATTGATATGAAAAATATGATCTTTGCTTATGCTTATGGTTGTGATGTAGGTGATATGTGGTCATGTTCTGAAGGAGGTGTGATAAAAATATGGCCTTGGGATACGTTAGAGAAATCTCTGCTGCTTAAACCGGAGGAGAAACACATGGCTGCTTTATTAGTGGAGAGGTCTGCCATTGACCTCAGGAGCCAAGTTACTGTCAATGGGACATGTAGCATATCATCCTCAGAAGTCAAGTTTTTGTTAGCCGATTCAGTAAGAGCTAAAGTGTGGGCTGTGCAGTCACTCTCATTCTCAATCTGGTAGGCTTTTATTTTTCTCACATTGGTAGAAGGACTGGTCCTTTCAGTCACTTGTTGATCATTATAAGAGATTTATGTGCGCAGGGATGCTCGGAGTAAAGACCTTCTGAAAGTTTTAAATGTTGAGGGGCAAGTTGAGAATCGTGGGGACATGCCACCTATACAAGACCAACAAGTTGATGATGAAATGAAATTGAAGTTCTTCTCGGCTTCAAAAAGGGAAAAACCACAGGGCTTTCTGCAGCGATCACGTAATGCTATAATGGGAGCTGCAGGAGCTGTTCGCCGAGTCGCCACTAGAAGTGCAGGTGCGTTTTCAGAAGATACTAGGAAAACAGAAGCTATCGTGTTAGCTGTAGATGGAACAATATGGACTGGAAGCATAAGTGGCCTCATTGTTCAGTGGGATGGAAATGGAAACCGCTTGCGGGATGTGAATCACCATCACCGGCCTGTTTTGTGCTTTTGCACTTTTGGCGATCGAATATATGTGGGTTATGCAAGTGGCTACATCCAGGTCTTGGATTCCGACGGAAAGCTAATTTCAAGCTGGGTTTCACACAATGAACCTGTGATAAAGCTAGCAGCAGGTGGTGGTTTCATTTTCAGTTTGGCCACTCATGGTGGAGTACGAGGATGGTATGTGACATCTCCAGGACCCCTGGACAACATAATCCGTACGGAATTGTCTCAGAAGGAAACTTTATATGCCAGACAAGACAATGTTAGAATTTTAATTGGTACCTGGAATGTTGGTCAAGGACGGGCTTCACATGATGCACTTATGTCATGGCTGGGCTCTGTCACTTCAGATGTAGGCATTGTTGCTGTTGGGTTGCAAGAGGTGGAGATGGGGGCAGGCTTCCTTGCCATGTCTGCTGCTAAAGAAACGGTAACTCCTTTTGTTTCACTTGATTTTATTTGGACTAAAACTTTTTCCATAGCGCAAAGCACTTGAAGGTCAAAATATCACCTCATATTTGGAACGCGGCTGTAGGTTGGACTTGAAGGAAGTGCTGTGGGGCAATGGTGGATTGATGCAATTGGAAAAGCACTTGATGAGAAAAACACTTTCGAGCGTATGGGTTCAAGGCAGTTGGCAGGACTTCTGATATCTCTTTGGTAAGTGAAAGTTCCGCTATAACATGTTGCATTCTCGTGCTTGTCACTCAACACTTTTGCAAGGTTTACGATCAGCAGTTGTGTGTCGTCTATGGTTAACCAACTAAAGGCTGTTTCACTTGTTTTTCTTCACTTATTAAACTTATTGTGTGCTGTGATTTTCTGCTTTAGGGCGAGGAAGGATATTAGAACTCATGTTGGAGATCTTGATGTTGCAGCAGTTCCATGTGGTTTTGGCCGTGCCATTGGCAACAAGGTATGTCTTACTCCTTCTTACTTCTTCAATTCTGATTATGAAACTACACACATTTAGGCCTTTCGGCTTCGGTACTTCAGTATTTATTTGTTCTTGTGGTCTTGTGAAGATGCAAATGAGAGAGTTATACATGAAATGTTTTCCTTACTTGCAATGTTTATGACCCGCTGAATGATAACACAATTAGAGGAAAAAACTTTGCCTTTTGCCGCAATGTGTAATCTCTTCTATCTCGCTAAGATGTAGATGAGGATGCGTTATAAATGTTAATTCCAATTTCTTTCTCTATGAGGTACTTGTTCCGTTTGCACACATTAATGTCTTACTTGTCAAAATAGGGAGGTGTAGGTCTGAGAATCAGAGTTTATGACCGAATAATGTGCTTTGTGAATTGCCACTTGGCTGCACATTTGGAGGCGGTTAATCGCAGAAACGCGGATTTCAATCACATTTTTCGATTGATGGTCTTTTCCCGAGGACAAAATCTAAGTAACGCTGCAGCTGGTATGGTGCCGTACCTGTTTTTGTCTTGCTCACTTGGCTTTTCCACATATTTATTTTGGCTGCTTTATTCTTCTGGTTTGCCATGGGCCCTCTCTCTTGCAGCTGGTGTCTCAACTTCAGCTTATACCACAAAGAGTAACACTGTATGTTCTTATCATATCACCATTACTTAAACACTTAAATTCTATCCTTGCTTCACGATGTCGGTCCTGAGTTTATGTTGTTTGCTTCTTCAAATTTTACTGAACATATGTTTCTCTGTTTTCCAGATTCCAAGCACCGGCGCTGAAGAAATCAAGTCTGATCTTGCAGCAGCAGACATGGTCGCATTTTTTGGCGATTTCAACTATAGGCTGTTTGGTATAACCTATGATGAAGCAAGGGACTTCATTTCACAGCGATCCTTCGATTGGCTCAGAGAAAGAGACCAACTTAGAGCAGAGATGAAGGTTGGAAAAGTCTTCCAAGGAATGCGCGAGGCATTAATCACTTTCCCTCCGACTTACAAATTTGAAAGGAATCGCTCAGGCCTTGGAGGTAAAAGTGGATTTGATACATTGATATGAATTTGAAAAAATTGAAACAATTTTGTTCTGCTCTGTTTTCTACATTTTTTCCTCTGTTTTGTAAGAATTGATGGCTCCAGAAAAATTTAGACTCCCTGTGCTATGTACTCTCCAGGATATGATTCAGGGGAGAAAAAGCGAATTCCTGCGTGGTGTGACAGAGTTATATATAGAGACACTCAATCAAGCCCATTCTCAGAGAGCAATTTGCAATGCCCTGTAGTTTCATCAGTCATAATGTATGGTTTCATTACGACCTTTCTGATGTCTCTCTCTTTTTCCGGTCTCTTCAATGTGTTTTCTCCATTCTAACATTCCACCTGCGTGTTTCAACAGGTATGAAGCTTGCATGGATGTTACTGAGAGCGATCATAAACCCGTGCGCTGCAAATTTCATGCGACAATAGCTCATGTTGATAAATCTGTGCGGAGACAGGAACTGGGGAAAATAATAAGGTCTAATGAGAAGATTTTATCCATATTCGAAGATTTAAGATTTGTTCCAGAAACTTTTGTGAGCACCAACAACATTGTTCTTCAGAGTCAGGACACAGTCATCCTAACAATCACAAACAATTCACCCACGAGCAAAGCCATTTTTAACATTCTGTGCAGCGGTCAGGCTGTAGTTAAGGATGACGGAGAAGATCCTGACTATAATCCACGAGGGTCCTTTGGTCTTCCACGCTGGCTTGAGGTATTGAATTCTCTTTGGACGCCAAATGAAATTCATGTAGTATTCAAGATTTAGTGATTACAAGAAGTTTCTTCTTTTAGGTTTCGCCTGCGGCTGGGATAATAAATCCAGAAGGATCCGTGGACGTTAAAGTTCATCAGGAAGATTTTCACTCAATGGAGGAATGTGTTGATGGCATCCCACAGAATTGGTGGTGCGAAGACACTCGAGATAAAGAAGCAATCCTGACGGTGAACATTCGAGGAAGCTGCTCAACTACATTGACAAGCCACTCTATCAAAGTCCGTCATTGCTTCTCGGCCAGAGTATGTCTCCTTGAGAACAGACCCACGAACCTAACAAAGAACTTAGGCGGTTCACGTCGTTACCCAACAGATATTACCCGTAATGGAAGCACTAGACCAAGAACCGAAGACTCGGTTAGACGAGGTAAAAGCCGGTGATGAGCTCTTGTAACTTTGACAGTTTTAACTAGATCTTAGAGCAGAAGAACAACAAAGCCATCACAAAACAAATGCATCAGGTGAAGAATCGCTTTTATTCATTCGTTGATTCTTTAGAAAATCCATTGTGTCAGAAATTGTAGATTTGCTTTGAGACTATTCCTCAGGTAGCATGTATTCAACTTTTGTATCTCCTCACTTGAACCTAAACTACAGGTACGTGACCCATGTATACATTTGTTACTCTTACATTAAACTGTCTGTTCTGGAGATTTTAGTCTCAGAGTGCATACATTCTCTTGTTGAATTCGCCGTTGAGAATCTCTGACTCTAAAGGCATATGAGAGAGTGAGAAAGATTTCGATTTGCTTCTCTCTTTCCTTAAGCTTTTCAGTTTAGATTCCTCAATCCTATGCATGACCACACAGTAACACATCGCACCTATCGTGGTTAGCATAATCGTCCCGCCAATAATCGTTGCACAAATCGCCAGCCAAATGTCTTCCTTACCCACAACGATAAACGAAAGAGAAACAAAGGCAATGGATATGAACAAACAAGCCAACCACATGAGCTTGTTGATCACAAACACAAGCTTCTTCTTTGCCTTCTGCTCAATCACCACAACTGAAGTCTGCACCACAACAACAGCCAAAGATATAAACAGCGCCAAGCTGTCGAATATGAAGAAGATTAAAAACGGGGCTTTGTTGGCTATGCGGGCTTCTCCTAAGAACAACAGTCCCTTTGTTCTGTCTTCTTCATATTGCCCAGGAATGGTGAAGATTGCTGCAAATGCAACTGTTGCGATTAGGACAGCAACAACGGTTGCTGAGTTTATAGCGTTGTTTAAACCGTTGATGTGAAGCTTCTTCAGTCTCTTTGCGATTCTCCGAACCCTAACACCCGTTTGGCGAGACTGTTGGAGCTGAGATTGTACCTCGTGTTTAATGTCGCTGACCGTTTGCTTAAGTTGCTTAGCCGGGTTTTGAGGCTTCCCAAGATCTTTAGCTGTTGCAGCTCCTGCTTCCTTCAGAACCGACACAAGCTCTGGGTTTCCAATCTTTTCAGCTATATCAAGTGCAGTATCTCCAGCCTTATTCATAGCATTGAGGTTAATTCCATCAAATGATACCAAACATCGCACAATCTGCAAGCAAAGGCAAGAAGCAGTTCATAAGAATTCATGTAGACTGAAAAACTCGAGGGGGGTAAATCATGATGATGATACCTTAATACGGCCTTTGTTTGTGGCAATGTGCAATGGTGTATTCCCTTTGTTATCCTCAACACTCAAAACCGCAGGATCTGGTTTCACCAACTCAAGAACAATCCCTTCGTTTTGACCTTTGACAGCCATGTGAAGCGCTGTTTGTCCCTTTTTATCGGTTCTAAACCCGATGCTTGCATCATTACCTATCAAAGATTTAACCACTTCTCTGTGCCCCATTCGCGCTGCAGAATGAAGCGCAGTTTTACCATTGTTCTTAGCTATCTTAGCTAAATGAGAATCTGTCTTTAAAAGAAGATTCACCACATCAATGTGTCCTTGTGTGGCAGCCGTGTGCAATGCAGTTGTACACGATAAATCCACCGTCATAGCCAGATTCGGAAATGTCTCCAACAATTTCTTCAATGCCTCTGCAAAAGACACCGCACATTCAAAAACTCATTTCAAGAAGGTGTAGGTCTTCAAGTTATTATCAGATATCTAAAGTTTCACTTACCGAGATGGCCTTGTTTTGCAGCTACATGGAAAGGATCAAAACCGTTGCGAGCTTTAATTGATGCAGTATCAAGGTCCATATGTTTCAACATCTCTTCAACAACTAACGAATGCCCATTTTCTGCTGCACTATAAAGAGCAGTCTCTCCTTCAAGATTCTGCTTTGATAACAACTCCTTCAACTCTTCAGTGCCGTTACAACCTCGAATCAATTCCATAACCTTCCCCAAATTCCCTGTTCGAGCTCCGATATGAAGAGGAGAGTCCCCTCTTTTACCAGGTGACTCAGTCTTCTGCTTCCTCTCACCAGCAGCATTCATGAAACTTAACTGTCTCTCCATCACTACCCTAAAGCTTTTCTGCTTCTCAACGAACCCACGGAAGCTTCTCTGCCTCTCCATTGGCCTCTCTCTATTCTCCATTGCTCTTCCTTTGATTCCATGTTTCTCTACAACATTCCCAGCTAGGAAACTAACTTGCTTCTCCAAAGCTCTTCCCTTTCTCACCTGATCCTCTGCACCAACGCATCTGAGACTCTGTTGTTCCTCTACAGAGTTACCTCGAAAGCTCTCTTGCTTCTCCATTACAGGAGCCAAAGAACTCATATGCGTGTCTCCCTTAGATTAAACAAAGATCTTGAACAAATCTGAGAAACCCAATAGATAGATTTGTAAATCTCGACGCTTTTTGTAAGATTCTGTTCTGTTCTAAGCCATTGACGAAGCCCAGGAAGATACGCAGGAGAGAGAGAGACTGTGAGTGACTGCATCTTCAGCTATTCAACTATTTGTTTTAGTGCTCTTTTCTTATTAATTTCGTTAAATTTTCCAAAATCTATAATACTTTTTAATATTCTTTTCCCTAATTTCTTTAGATTTGTCTTATATTTTTGTTGTCCAAATCAAAGATCAAAAAGCAAAAGCACAATGGGATGGTGACAACAAGTCAAAGTCTTCCACTGTGTTAGTTATTGAAAATAATATTTTATTAATGAAAAAAAAAACTATATTTTTGTATGTTACAGACATTGGTGATCATACCTTGTTACAGAAAACTATTTGAAAAATCAGTTTCCTAATAACAATTTCACCGTTTCATCTTACAATTTTATCGGTTTAGACAACTAGTAGGTTGAATAACACCAAGATTTTTCCCAACAGCATTGAAACAGAAGGAAGTAGCAGGGGTTCCTTTGTTGTAAATAAGCTTAATGTCCTGTAATGTGATTCCTGTGCACGGATTGCTCTTGCTACAAGCCAGGTTCATTGCTTGTTGTGTCGCCGACGTTCCTTGTATGTTCTTATAGGTCACTTGGCTTATCTTCACCCCCGAATGCTAATACATACATTAACATAAATCTTTGATTAGTTATTTGAGTACTAATTAAGTCGATATATAACATAATGGATATGTGTGATCAAAAGTATAAATGATTTGGATATACATCAGTAGGGCAGCCTTGCTTGGAGGGACAGTAGTTTTGGTCGATTATGATAGGGTTTTGGACGTTCTTCATGATTAGGTTTTGGAAGAAGACGTTCCTAACGAATCCGGTACTCGGCCTCGCCCATGACTTTATCCTCACGCCGTTTTGTGTTCCGGTGAATACCGAACTCGATACTGTCACGTTCTCTACTCCGTCTTCGTTTAACTGCTTTGCCAAGCTCCCGATGCTGCGAGTCATCACATAATCATATGAGTTATGACCAGAGTGAGTGAAGGCACAAGCAAGTGATATATATTTACATAAATTAGGGAATTAGACGGTGGCGTATACCTAACCCCGTGACCAGGGCCACAAGCAAGCTTGGAAATAAGGAAGTTGCGGGTCCCCTGACCGATAGCAACACAATCGTCTCCGGTCTGAACGGTGCTTCCGGTGAATGTGACTCCAGTGGAGAATTGAACGGTGAAGCCGTCAGTGTTTGGGCTGTCTCCGGGAGCCACCAGCCTGACGTTACGGACGACTACATTGGTGCAACCGTTGAGGGTCATATGGCTGACCTGGCTGTTCATCGATTTCACTCCACTTATGATCACGTCTTTTGCCGAGTTGAACGATATTGACTACAGTTATTAATATATGCCATATATTAGTAAATATAAGATTATAATTGTCATTTTTATTTTGACCAAAGAATCCATTCCCTTGACCAAAACTCATTATTATAAAACTTAAGAAATCCTAATTATAAGTTGGCGTAGTTACATATTAAAAAAATAAACGTATTTGAAGTATAGTTCAAAATTTATCAACTTCCTATGGTTTTTTAATCGTAAGTAAATTATTGGAATATAGATTCTTAACTATTTATTACTAATCTATTATTGCTCTTTTGCATTATGGTGCTTGCATTGCGCTTATGTATGAATATTAGATTGTTGTGTTTATCCACAATAACTAGAGATAGAGGAGAAGCATATGTACCCTAACACCGGGGGGACAATTCTGTCCAGATTTCCGGCAAGACCAGAACCTATTAGCTCGAGCGTCGAAAGTCCCACCGACCAGTGAGAATCTGTTAACCTTGTTGAAGAGAATCCAGTAACCGGAATTGCCAAAGGTCCTGTAATCTTCCGGAGCAACGATGGTTCCGGCCACTTGAAATGTGATTTTGCTCTTGCATGGTCCTCCAAACGTTATTACCTTCAACAAAAATGTCCCCGTGGGGACCACCACCGTGGCTGAAGATGCCGAGCCACAAGCCCCTTGCCATGCCTTGAGGAATGCTGCGGTGGAATCGGTGACTCCGTCTGGTTTGGCCCCGAAGCTCACGACGTTGAAAACGATGGAGGCGCTGCTCGAGACATCGATGAAGGTTAGAAGTGTGAAGATAAGTGGAAATGTTATAGCTGGTTTTGTCATCTTTTATATGTGAGTTTGAGGTTGTGTTTGTGTTTATGTTTGTGTTTGAATTGATTTGATGCATGGGTATATATATAGGGAAAGAGAGCATAATTAATTGGTTCGTTATTGGAGTCTATGGTACAATTAAGTACATATTGTACCTATATGATAAGAGATTGTGAATTTTTTATGATAGATAAAAGAGTTTACATTTCCAATCATTAGGTGCACACATGGTTGATATCGTACTTTTAGGAGCAACGGTCGTTGTATTAACGATGACATTTTTGCACATTATCAATTTCCCATAAATTATGTGCCATAGATATATGTATATGTATCATATTTTCCCATAAATTATGGGCATCAACGGTCATATGTATTATGGTACGTACATGTTGTGTTTATTTATTGATGAACCAAAAATAAATGCATGAAATTACTCAGCGTTTGATAAGAACACTAAAGAGTGCATAGAGTTGATTTTTTTTTTTTTAGTATCGACTCAATTTTTACAAACTCCTAAAAGAACTACCATAAAAATAGGATTTTTTTTCAATTTTAAAAGTAATAAAAATTAAATTAATAATATCAACCCTAGTCTTATAAATATTGTTGTCTCCAAGAAGGTAAAATGATCATGGAATGCATCACTACAACAATATAATCCTTAAAAAAGATTATCAAAAAATAATCCATACAATTTGTCGTCTGCCATTTGTCCATTTCCTTGTAGCTAAATGCTAATTTCTGTTTGGGAAATATTAATTAGGAACACTGTCACAATCAAGATTTTCTAATTGAAGGCCAATATAAATAAATACATTAACTTGAGCAAATCTTGCAATCTTTCAATTATATCTGTACATATAATATGCACATCACGGTTAATACGGTTATATTGTGAAATACTAGAATTTAAAATGTAGGTAAAAAGTGATCAAAATATGTATAAATGACGACATCGCCGCATATTTATATGATACATGACATGTGAGCAACTAGCAGTTGACCCAACAAAAAAAAAAAAAGACGTGTGATTAACTAGCTCACAAATTATTGAGACGAACCCAATCATATTCATTAATCATTATGATCAGAATTACAGAAAGTCAATATCTATATATATTAGCTAATTCGTTGTAGACATTTTGAATTCAACAGCCATGTTCTCTATGGATATAGTATTCTTGCGCCGCTCTAGTCGAATTCATTGATTGGTGGTTGTGTTTTATCATCAGGATTAATAAGAGATTAGACGAGAGACGAGAAAACAGTCGAACCGAGAATCTGCTACAAGGTAGAGAGACCGAGGAAGCAGGTGATTCCCATGTAAGATAGAGAGCGTGACTGAGTGACAGCATCTTCAGCAGCCATATATACATTCCTTTTGTTTTCTTTATTAATTAATTTCGTTAAATTTCCAAAATTTGTAATCTCTTTTCCCAAATTAAAATTCATGAATAATCATCCCAATTGGGCTTTGTAACCGGCCAATACACCTTCTCGGATTAAAAAAAAAAAAACGGAAACAGAAGCTCCGGCAAGATTTAGACGGAGAGAAGATCGGAAACTGAACGATCTCTTTTTATTCAATTTCTTCTAGATTTGTATTATACTTTGCTTTTAAAACAAGCTCTCTGCTGACCGAAGAAAAAAAAAACAAAAAACAAAGAAGTACAATGTTATTTTGACAAGTCAAAGTCTTCTATTTTCTTAGTTATAAAAACAGTATTTTATTAATGAAAATAAATAAAATAAATAATTTGTATGTTACAGAGATTTTTTTTTTAAAGGTGATCAATTGATACAGAAACAAGAACATTTGGTACTCTCAAACCGGTTGATATCCCAAAATTATTTGGATCACCGTTCTAATTAATCTTATAATCGTCACGGTAAGATTACAATTAAAAGATGAAAGGTCAAATCCCCTAATAACAATTTACCATTTCATCTGACAACAAATAACTTTACACCAAGATATTAATTTGATATTATATTATCGGTTTAGACAACTAGTAGGTTGAATAACACCAAGACTTTTCCCAACAGCATTGAAACAGAACGAAGTAGCAGGAGTTCCTTTGTTGTAAGTAAGCTTAATGTCTTGTAATGTGATTCCTGTGCATGGATTGCTCTTGCTGCACACCAGCTTCATTGCTTCCTGCGTCGCCGACGTTCCTTGTATGTTCTTGTACGTCACTTGGCTTATCTTCACCCCCGAATGCTAATACATACATTAACATAAATCTTTGATTAGTTATTTGAATACTAAGTCGATATATAACATAATGGATATGTGTGATCAAAAGTATGATTTGGATATACCTCAGTAGGGCAGCCTTGCTTGGAGGGACAGTAGTTTTGGTCGATTATGATAGGGTTTTGGACGTTCTTCATGATTAGGTTTTGGAAGAAGACGTTCCTAACGAATCCGGTACTCGGCCTCGCCCATGACTTTATCCTCACGCCGTTTTGTGTTCCGGTGAATACCGAACTCGATACTGTCACGTTCTCTACTCCGTCTTCGTTTAACTGCTTTGCCAAGCTCCCGATGCTGCGAGTCATCACATAATCATATGAGTTATGACCAATTAATCTACTTATTCGCTATCTTGAGTTTGAAATTCATTATTTTCTCAGAGTTAATAATTTATATATGTAATTATTTCTACATAAATCGGTATAAAAATTAAGAGCGTGTGTATACCTAACCCCGTGACCAGGGCCACAAGCAAGTTTGGTGATGAGGAAGTTGCGGGTACCAGGGCCGATAGCAACACAATCGTCTCCAGTCTGAACGGTGCTTCCGGTGAATGTGACTCCGGTGGAGAACTGAACGTGGAAACCGTCGGTGTTTGGGCTGTTTCCAGGAGCAATTAGCTTGACGTTACGGACGACCACATTGGTGCAACCGTTGAGGGTCATATGGGTGACCTGGCTGTTCATTGATTTCACTCCACTTATGATCACGTCTTTTGCCGAGTTGAACGATATTGACTATTATAATGCATCAAAGATTTTATGAGATTGGTTTCGCCGGTCAATTTACTTTATATATATATGCTCAAATAGAGTTTGATACATAATTTTTTTTTTAAAAATTACTTATTCATGTTTATATATATATTTGTATAAGACATTGGATTAAAAATTGTTCTTTTAAAAATAAGCCCAATATTTTAGTTAACACATATATATATATATATTAATATATCCCACATATATGTAAGTATGCATTTAAATTCAAACTAGAGATAGAGAAGAGAGATCTAGTGCACCAAAAAAACAAAAAAAAAAGATAGAGAAGAGAAGCATACCCTAACACCAGGAGGACAATTCTGACCAGATGTCCGGCAAGACCAGAACCCATTAGCTCGAGCGTCGAAAGTGCCGCCGACAAGTGAGAATCTGTTAACCTTGTTGAAGAGAATCCAGTAACCGGAATTGCCAAAGGCCCTGTAATCTGCCGGAGCAACGACTGTTCCGGCCACTTGAAATGTGAGTTTGCTCTTGCATGGCCCTCCAAACGTTATTGTCTTCAACAGAAATGTCCCCTTGGGAACCACCACCGTGGCTGAAGCTGCCGAGCCACAAGCCCCTTGCCATGCCTTGAGGAATGCTGCGGTGGAATCGGTGACTCCGTCCGGTTTGGCACCGTAGCTAACGACGTTGAAAACGTTGGAGGCGCTGCTCGAGACATCAATGAAGGTGAGGAGTGTGAAGAGAAGGGGAAATGTTATAGCTGGTTTTGTCATTTCTTATATATGTGAGTTTGAGTTTGTGTTTGAATTGATTATGATGCATCATGCATGGGTATATATATCTAGAGAGAAAGAAAGAGCATATATGATTGGTTCGTTATTGGAGTATATGGTACAATTAAGTATATGTGATATCCATGTGATAAGAGTTCTGTGAGTTTTTTTTTTATGATTGATATAAGAGTTTACATTTCTAATCATTAGGTGCACACATGGTTGATATCGAATTTTTAGGAGCAGCGGTCGTTGTATTATTATTAACGCTGACATTTTTGCATATTATCAAATATTTCTATTATATATTGGTATATAATCATGAGCAAAAAGAAGTACTAAGCTTACTCAGCGGTTTGGTTATGACAAAATAAGAAATCTAACAAATTTACTCAACGTAGTGAATTGGCCATTTATACACTTTTTTATATAAACGGCCATGTACAAATTACCGTTATGAATTGTGAAATAAATTTAAAAAATGTAGTAAAACAGTGATAAATGACGACATCACCACATATTTATATGACACATAACATGTGACTAACACATAACATGTGACTAACTAGCTGTTGACCCAAAAAAGACGTGTGATTAACTAGCTCAGACACTATTGAAACTAACCCAATCATATATTTTCGTTAATCATTCTGGTCAGAATTACAGAAAGTCTCACTAATAAAGAAACTTTCAATCAAATGGCATGTGAGAGTGGTGGAGAGAGAGAGAGAAGAGGCGGATCAGTTGGAGGCGAAAGAGACGCCGGAGCTCCCGGATTTTTGACATTTCAGGAATAATGTTAAAATTGTATATATGACAAATAATGTAACAAATTCTATTATCAGGATAATCCTACATCAGTACACATGACAATGTTCTTATTATTACCTTCAAAATCTTGATGTAGGTTTAAAGGGCTCTTGGAGCATCATTTCGATTATGCGACTCTTGTCTGCAAAATCCGAGAAGGGAGTTAAATGGTGAAAAGCAGTCAGAGGAACAATAAACACATAACTTAGAATACCGAAAAAATCCTTCCATGTTCCCAATTTCACAGTAAGTAATTCAAGAACCCACAAACAGGATAATGAACATATATACAATCAAAAAGCAGAAATAAGAAAAACATGTGAGAAGCTTTTGTGCCACATGTTCCAAGCCTTGTAAGCAACCGCGAACAATGAAATGAGGGACTGCAAACTGAAGTTAATCAAGAAAGACCAAAGAGCATAAGAAGTACGCACCCCTGCATTTGTCTCAATTTCGTGGACCATGGCTCCCATTTTGCTACCTCAAAGAGCACTAACAGGCTCTTCCACTTTGAGATTTGGATAGGAAGCTGATGAGAATCGCCAAAATGGAGCAGTTGCACTAGCATCAGTTTCTCTTCAGCAAATGACAAATCAATAAGATTGTGAACCTGCATAAATCCTTACACATAAGGAAACAAACAAGAACGTTCAACAAGGTGTTCACAGATACTCTTTTCTAAGACCCAAGTTGCCCAATCCTCCTGAAGTGCTGCCAGTAGCTATTAAATGCACAAACAGGAGCATCTGCTAACAGATTGATAAGAAGCTTATACTCGGTGTTTCATATGCAGAGCCCCTTTAGCCTCTTTCAATCCAAAGAGCTCATTAACGACCTGGTGCTTCCGAGACTTGGAAACAGGCAAATGTTTCCTTGAACTGACATTTTCACTAAGATTAACTTCTGACCTACCATCAGCTAATTTGCTTCCCTTAGTTCCTCGTCCACAAGGTAATTCTCTATTATTTCATCAACAGGATCAACAATTGTATCTGGCCTCCTACCCTTGTATTTTGTATCACTGAAAAAGTCAAATATTTCTTTATCCGCAGCTAATCCTTCTCTTCTCATTTGGTCAAAAACTTCTCTTGCCTCCACGAATTTCTTCCTCTTGAAGAATCCTTTTATGAGAACGCTATATGTGCTGACAGAGACACTAAATCCTTTGCCTTTCATTTCTTGGAATAAAAACCATGCTTCCTTCATGTTCCTAGCCTTGCAATGGCCTTTAACTAAATTCTCATACGTCTTACCATCAGGTCCTACTCCCCGCGAACACATGTCCTTATAAATACCAGTTGCTGCCTTCAGGTTATTTCTAATGCAATATTGCTTCATGAGAGAATTAAATGTGGTTGCATTAGGCGCTATACCCTTTGCCAACATCCAATTTAATAGCTTCTCACCATCTTCCAACATCCCATGCAAACAAAAGCCATTCATTAGGACGTTGAATGTGACAATAGTAGGTTGAAGCCCTTTCCCGAGCATCTCCTTCAACATCTCTTGAGCCTTATCCATTTCCCCTGATTTACAGTAGGCATCCATTAAAGTTGTATAAGTTACAGTGTCTGCAATAAGTCCCGCAGCTTCAAATTCTCCAACAAGTTTAACTGCCTCCTCGATATTACCCGACTTACATAGACCATTGACAATGGAATTATAAGTAAAAATATTTGGCTGAAGACCTATTTTCCACATTTCATGGAGAAGCTCATTCGCTGAATCTAAGTCCCCTTCCTTACAAAGCCCATCAATTAATGTGGTGTATGTAACAACATTTGGGGAGCACCCAGCCTGAATCATGTGATTGTGGACCCTAAAAGCATCTTTTATATGCCCTGCTTTGCAGTATCCATTCATAAGTTCAGTAAAAGTAATGCTATCCGGCTCTAAACCCCTGCAAAGCATTTCATGAAATAGTTTACCAGCCTCCACCATGTCGCCAATCTGACAAAACCCTGATATAATAGCAGTATATATCAAAACATCTGGTGTAATATCCCGAGAGTGCATCTCATAAAAAAACTTCGATGCAGCCCGAATATCCCCTCGCTTGCAGAAACCATCAATAAGAGTTGTGTACACTACAGTGTCAGGGAGTATGCCCTGCCCTATCATCTCTGAAAAAGCCTCCTCTGCTTCGGCTAGCTTACAAATTCTACAGAGCAAACCAATTATACTACCATAAGTATAAGAATTCGGCTTCAGACCCTTCTGTTTCATTTTTTCAATGAGCTTCCAAACCTTGTCAAGTTCCCCAAATCTACAGTATCCATTGATCACTGTACTGTAACTGATTACATCAGGGGTGTAGCCTTTCAACTCCATAAGCAGGAGTAGATGGTGGGCTTCGTTTATCCTCCCAAGTTGACAAATAAAATAAATAATGATGTTATAAGAAGCAACATTCCAACAAACACCCACTTCCGGAAATTCCCTGAATACTATGATTGCTGTTGCAGTTTTATTGCAATCTTTCGAAAGACGGGCAAGGTACACGTTGCAAGAATCAACAGATAAAACCAATCCGTAATTCAACATCTTCTCGAAGACTTTTCTCGCCTCACGGAGCATTCCGAATTCAACAAGTACTTGGAAGAAAACATCGAATACACGAGGATCCGAACCCCAGTCCTTGTAAGTGTATACTAAAAGATCAAAAAACTGTACAAAGGAATCAGTAACATTCAACTTTGGTCTCTCCCAAAAACTACTTATGAAAGACTGAGCCACTTTTAGATCCTTAGACGCCACAGCCAAATGAATAACAATGCAAAGGGATTCAAGGTTGGAGTCTCTGCGGGAGCGAGCCCAATCAAAGAAATCAAGAACCAACATGTAATCACACTTAATCTTCATCAGAACCCAAATCAAATGATCAGTCTTGAACTTGCATTCATAAGGCTTTAAACTCCGCCTCAAAGGCTCAGCCCGACGCAGCTTAATCACATTGGTGATTTGATGTACAAATTCAGTGTCTCTCACTGAAGCTTTCTTTGATGAATAATCAGGAAAAGGTCTAGTATCGGTTAAAGTTGAGGAACTGAGGCCACGGGACTGAAGTGAAAAGAGCTGAATGAAATTTCTGAAGCCAGAAAGAGTACCTCTCTTCATCAACAGGCCATTGAATGGCTGCTTCATCTCTCCATCATAAACACCAAAAACTCTCTGCGAGCTAAGTAGATAGTTGAGTCCTGCGGAGAACAATCATTCGCTGAATTCGAAAAAAACCCTAAAGTCTCTGCACCAAAAAAACTTGACCCACCCCAAGCGGGTGATGTGTCTCGACGTGTGTTGTAATGAAATTGAAAGAACTTGAAGAAAAAAACGAACTTTGTCTTTCTCTCTCTCTCTCTCTAAAGAGTCTGAAAATGAAGGGCACGGCGTGCGATTGAAGACGACGATCGATTTTGGGATTTTGGTTAAAACGACGTCGTATATGCGGTCGGTCATTTTAACGAACAAAACGATTCGTTTTGGAACTTAAACCACTTAAAAGCCCATTAAGCAGATCACTTAGGCCCATATTGACCAACTATACAAAGATCATCTCTCTGCTTCCAATAAAAGATACTCTCTTTCTAATGTTTTTATACAATAAAACTTCTATAAATTAATAACACCGGGACTAAAAAATTATATTAATTTATAAATAAATAGTGTCCAATTAGTTTACACAAAATTTAAAATTTAACACTTATCCAAAAAAAAAAACCCTTATAGTTTTAATAGTAATATAAAAATATAAGTTTAAAAACATTTATAATAAAAAAAACAAGTGTTAAAATTTAAATTATGAATAAACCATATTGAACCTAGAACACCGCTTAGGGGTTTGGATGTTGTATCCAATTAGTTTACACAAAATATAAAAATTTAACACTTATCAAAAAAACTTTAAAGTTTTAATAGTAATATAAAAATATAAGTTTAAAAATATTTTTTAATAAAAGAAAAACAAGTCTTAAAAATTTATATTATGTGTAAACCATATTGAACCTAGGACACCGCTTAGGGGTTTGGATGTTGTGTCCAATTAGTTTACACAAAATATAAAAATTTAACACTTATCAAAAAAACTTAAAATTTTAATAGTAATATAAAAATATAAGTTTAAAAATATTTGTAATAAAAGAAAAACAAGTGTTAAAAATTTATATTATGTGTAAACCATATTGAACCTAGGACACCGCTTAGGGGTTTGGATGTTGTGTCCAATTAGTTTACACAAAATATAAAAATTTAACACTTATCAAAAAAACTTTAAAGTTTTAATAGTAATATAAAAATATAAGTTTAAAAACATTTTATAATAAAAGAAAAACAAGTCTTAAAAATTTATATTATGTGTAAACCATATTGAACCTAGGACACCGCTTAGGGGTTTGGATGTTGTGTCTAATTAGTTTACACAAAATATAAAAATTTAACACTTATCAAAAAAACTTTAAAGTTTTAATAGTAATATAAAAATATAAGTTTAAAAACATTTTTTAATAAAAGAAAAACAAGTCTTAAAAATTTATATTATGTGTAAACCATATTGAACCTAGGACACCGCTTAGGGGTTTGGATGTTGTGTCCAATTAGTTTACACAAAATATAAAAATTTAACATTTATCAAAAAAAACTTAAAATTTTAATAGTAATATAAAAATATAAGTTTAAAAATATTTTTTAATAAAAGAAAAACAAGTGTTAAAAATTTATATTATGTATAAACCATATTGAACCTAGGACACCGCTTAGGGGTTTGGATGTTGTGTCCAATTAGTTTACACAAAATATAAAAATTTAACACTTATCAAAAAAACTTTAAAATTTTAATAGTAATATAAAAATATAAGTTTAAAAACATTTTTTAATAAAAGAAAACAAGTGTTAAAAATTTATATTATGTATAAACCATATTGAACCTAGGACACCGCTTAGGGGTTTGGATGTTGTGTCCAATTAGTTTACATAAAATATAAAAATTTAACACTTATCAAAAAAACTTTAAAATTTTAATAGTAATATAAAAATATAAGTTTAAAAACATTTAAAATAAAATAAAAACAAGTGTTAAGAATTTAAATTATGTGTAAACCATATTGAACCTAGGACACCGCTTAGGGGTTTGGATGTTGTGTCCAATTAGTTTACACATAATTTAAAAATTTAACACTTATCCAGAAAAAAAATAGTTTATGCGAAATATTTGAGGATACCTTGGAATAAGCTGAAATCCAATAAAACGTCTCAGTTGTTGAAATAGTTTTATCTAGGATACCTTGGAATAAGCCGAAATCCAATAAAACGGAGAAGGATTAATTATTGGTTGAATGATAAATAATAAACTTAGAAACAGAAGAAATTAAAGAAAAGCCGAGAGGATTTTGAGATTACTTACAGATCAAGAAAAGCAGAGGATTTTGAGATACTTCTTCTTGTTGAGTGATTGTGAGTAGTCGAACGATTGATATGGTGTGACTCTGTGTCCTAATCGATTTTGAGCCCGACGATTGAGCCTTGACTTCTCTCCGGTGACTTGACGATGCTGTTGCGTCTACACCACCGCCACGACCACTATGGGAGAGACGGATGGATTTATTGATTGAAGAATTTGTCAACTTCATGATGATGGAAACAAAAGACCATCATTAGCATCAGTTTGCTGATATTGTAAGCACGTCGGCGACGTTTTTGTACTGAAACTAACCATCAACGATGAACGATGGTCACCTGTTTCACAAAATCCAAAACAAACCTATCAAAGACCTCTGACTTGCTCTCGTTGCCATTAGAACACTCTTTTTTTTTCTTTTCTTTTGGTGACAATTATGTGATATGATTTTGATTTACGAAGACATGTTGAGTATTTATAAACAGAGAGATTGTTGTCCAATAAAAAGGAAATTCCATTTTTTTTATGTTATTAGAAAAAGGAAATCACTCGATGAATTTGATTAGGGTTTAGTTACGTTATTGGGCCTTCGCACTAACTTTGCCGGCTTCAATTTCACTTATCACAACGGTAACAAAAGATTCACCTAATCGTATTAATTTTAGAATCATTTTATACAAGAACAATAATAAACAATCTTGATAATGCATATATCCATTATAAATTCCACCGTAACTTGGTATGGATTAAGGCTTTGTACTAAACATTTCAACAAAACCACACTCTAATCTCTTTTGGTCAAAAATATCACTCATAAAAACATCATAATTTGTGACTGTCAAAAACTGCAGATCTTGAACAAACAATGAAAGAAATTATTATTTTTTTACCAAAAAAAAAAAAAAAGAAATGAAAGAAATTACAGAGAAGAAAAGTGAAAATATTATGACAAGTGTTGTGTGTTCTTTCAAAGCTTAGGATTATGTTTCATTGAACCTCTATTCATTTCTTCACTACTTGAAGCAGAAGGATTTAAAGCATAGAAACAAACTCATCGATGCTCTTATCAGAACTACCTCCTTGAGAAACAGCTTCTCGAGCCAACTCCTTCCATTTCTCAGTATTCTTTCTAATCTCTTTACCTTTCCCTCCCTCCATAACTTCTCCCACACGTCTCACAATCTCTTCTCTTCTCACGAACCCATCACCGTCTGCTTTAACCCTAACCCCAACTTTCCACACATCCTCGATGAACTTAGCATTTGTGGGCTGATCTGCCCAATGTGGCATACCAATCATTGGAACTCCCAAACTCAGTCCCTCTAACGTCGAGTTCCATCCACAATGTGTCAAGAAACAACCGATCGATTTATGTGTAAGAACTTCAAGTTGTGGACTCCAGCTCACGATCAGTCCTTTCTCACCAATTTCCTCTATATAGTTTTCTGGAAGTTTGTTTTTCTCCGTCTCTCTCACAACCCACAAAAAGAAATGTCTGCTCTGTTTCAGACCCGCCGCGAGTTCTATCAGTTGATCTTCTTTTAGAACCACCATGCTCCCAAATGATACATAAACAACTGAATTAGGCTGCTTCGAGTTTAGCCACTCGATGCATTCAGCGATTTTAGCATCGAAGAGGCTGAATCCGTAGTTTTTGTCTTCAGGCAGTCGCTTATCTAAATACATTGATGGAACAGTTGGTCCTATGTTCAGGACAGGCCACACGCTTTGGACCCATTTCAGCAACTAAAAGCAGCAAAAAAGAAGAAGAAGATAAATTAACCATAATCACTTAATAAGAAAAAAAAGTTTAAGAGCAAAACATGTCAATTAGTACACAATTTTTTTTTTTCAAATCAAATCTAATAAACTTTTATATTTAAATTTATTATCAAAATAACTCGTCTATGCAATTTTAAATTATTAAGCTAAAATCTAACACCATGACACAAATTCAAAGGTATCTATATAAACTAAACTACAAGATTGATAGGTATAATGGAAAGAAAAAAGCATAAACACGGTACCTTTTCTTCCAATTTATCGAAAGTGTTGCACAAAACTATATCAACTCGATCAATGTTTGAGAGCTGATCGATCACAGTCCTTAGGATATATGGGTAAGAGGACGATTCACAGAGGAAAGACGGCAAATCATTTGCATTTAGCATTGGGAACGAAGGGAAAGATGCTAACGTTGAGTGACCGTACTTTGTATACGGTACAGAGAACGAGCCTTTGAAAACATGATAGTAAATAGCTGAGACAATCCAAGGCTGCGTGAAAAACACGGCACCGCTCAAACCATAAGTATGAGCTACATCAAGAAGCCACGGCATGGTGGAGTCGTACACGAGAGCCCTAGGAGGATTTCCCGACAGTTTCATGTCTTCTATCAGCTTCGGCAAGCTGTTTTTGATGCTGGATTCTACTCTTTCCATGTAATCATCTAGGACTTGTGATCGTTCCTCACCTTCTTCGAAACCATTGGAGATGGGGACGACAGCGATTGAGTCGTGCTCTGTTTTGTACGGCGGAGAGGGTTTATCGGAGACGAGGACAAGAGTGAGCTTAAGACCTTTTGAGGCTAAGCGTTTACAGAATTGGGACATTGGAGTTATGTGGCCTTGTGCTGGGAAAGGCAAAACGATAACATGAGATCCTTCTTTCATCTTTTTTTTTTCTTCTTTTGTTCTTACTCTGACTCTGTTATGTGTGGGTGGGTGTATATATAAGGTTGGATTAGAGGACGACTTTTATTTTACACATCTCTAGTGGTGGAGAAATTTCTTGTGACTACTATCCAAAAAGGTCAAACGTGGCGACCAAGATGTGTGGATTGTAGTCACAAGAAATTCTCCTACCCAATGACCTTTGACTGCATAAGCCGTCACATAGGATGTACGTATATTCTATTTTTAAAAACATTCAGGCGAATTTTATAGAATTATGCAAAAATTTATCTGGCTTGAATATTAAAACCCTGGATTTTTAACCTGATATCTTCAGAAAAACTAAATTTTACATTTGTTTATACAAATATGAAATAAAACAAAAATACCCAAAAGAATTGCACTGTTCATAGAAAAGTTAATTCTTTCTCTATCCGACACAAAACAAATTACTTCTTTCTTCTTCTTCATTTTTTTTTTCTTGTAGTTTGTTAAATTTAATACTTTCTATTTAATATTATAATATGAATTTATAAAATTTGGAACTTGGAACAGAGAGATGCAGACAAATGAGAAACTATATTATTACAACAACAACAACAACAATTGGATATGCAAAAGAGCAGACAACACAATTTCCATCATTCAACAAATTAATAAAACATAGAAACAAACTCATTGATGCTCTTATCAGAGCTACCTCCTTCAGAAACTGCCTCTTGAGCCAACACTTTCCACTTCTCAGCATTCTTTCTAATCTTTTTCCCTTTCTCTCCCTCCATAACTTCTCCCACACTTCTCACAATCTCTTCTCTTCTCACAAACCCATCATCTTCTGCCTTAACCCTAACCCCAACCTTCCACACATCCTCCATGAACTTAGCATTTGTGGGCTGATCAGTCCAGTGTGGCATACCAATCATTGGAACTCCCAAACTCAATCCTTCTAACATCGAGTTCCATCCACAATGGGTTAAGAAACAACCGATCGATTTATGTGCAAGTACGTCAAGCTGAGGACTCCAGCTTACAATTAGTCCTTTCTCACCGATTTCCTCTACATAGTTTCTTGGAATTTTGTCTGTCTCTGTCTCTCTTACAACCCACAAAAAGAAACATCCGCTCTGTTTCAGACCCGCAGCAAGTTCCAACATTTGATCTTCTTTTAGAATCACCAAACTTCCGAATGATATGTAGACAACAGAATTAGGCTGCTTTGAGTTTAGCCACTCCGTGCATTCAACAACTTTCGCATTGAAGAGGCTAAAACCGTAGTTCTTGTCTTCAGACAGTCGTTTGTCTAAATACATAGATGGAATCGTTGGTCCTATGTTCAAGACCGGCCACAAGCTTTGGACCCATTTCAACAACTACAAGCAGAAAAAATAAAAATCAACTATCATCACATAAACACTAAAGATTATATTTTTTCTACAAAAGACATAGACATGTCCCACTATATGGATATATTTTCTGTACCTTTTCCTCCAATTTATCGAAAGTGTTGCACAACACTATGTCTACTTGATCAATGTTTGAGAGCTGATCCACCACAATCCTCAGTATATTCGGGTATGAGGACGATTCACAGAGGAAAGACGGCAAATCATTTGCATTCAGCATCGGAAATGAAGGGAAAGATGCTAACGTCGAGTGACCATACTTTGTAGACGGTACAGAGAACGAACCCTTGAAAACATGGTAGTAAATAGCTGTGACAAGCCAAGGTTGCGTGAAAAACGCAGCACCGCTCAAACCATAAGTATGAGCTACATCAAGAAGCCACGGCATGGTGGAGTCGTACACGATAGCCCTAGGAGGATTTCCCGACTGTTTCATGTCTTCTATCAAATTCGGTAAGGTGTTTTTGATGCTGGTTTCTACTCTTTCCATGTAATCATCGAGGTCTTGTAATGGCTCCTCGCCTTCTTGGAAGCCATTGGAGATGGGGAAGACAGTGATTGAGTCGTGCTCTGTTTTGTATGGAGGAGAGGGTTTGTCGGAGACGAGGACAAGAGTGAGCTTAAGACCTTTTGAGGCTAAGCGTTTGCAGAACTGGGACATTGGAGTTATGTGGCCTTGTCCTGGGAAAGGCAGGACGATAAGATGAGATCCTTCTCTCATTTTCTTCTTCTTTTTAAATCTTGTGTTTTTACTGACTCTAGTTTTTGTTGTGTGGATGTTGTGTATGTGTATGGATGGATATTTATATATATGATTGGATTAGAGAACGACTTCGATTTTACTACGTCTTTGGTGGGGAAAAATTAATTGGACTAGAATCCAAAAATTGTCTAGGTTCCGTGACGACCAAGATATGAGGAACAGTGACCGAGGTCGAAGATAATGCAACCCACCAATCCATGTTGACATAACTGTTTTAGTTTACTAGATAATCGTTAGCATGTGACTTATGACATGTGACATATCAATATATAGCACGCAACATATGTACGTGTATATCAGATTCATTTTGTCATCTTGCATGAGAGAGACACTGCTTTCTCAGCTGTGTATTACTGTTGATGTCATTGCTTATGCAATCCGGATCCAAACTGTAAAACATTGCTAACGGCTATGTATTCACACTTTATATGATTATATGTACGTATATTTGACTCTTATACAAATTCTAGACGAAGCCACAAATCTGGTATAATCAAGGAATTTTTTTCTTTTGGGTTATATCCTGTTAATTCGTCGCAAAATATTTTTGATTGTCACTCAAAAATATTGAACGCCGTCCCACTTTGGAACCCAATCTATCCACGTGGAGCTCTATCATTCGTTGACCGGAAATCCGTGACAATAAAAAACAAAGAAAAGACGTTGTTGTAACTTTAAATTTAATTTAATTCCAAGCTCTTCAATTTATTTTACTTGACTCAGTTGTTTAATTATTTGTTCATTTTATTTTAATTCGTTGTTGTATTAGTCTTACCTCTTAACCTATATTTTCATTTTATACTACGTAAGGATGACTCGACCCTTATTTAGTTATTTTTCTGTCATATTAATTGGTCGGTGTTATTTTTTCACCGGCTAGTCGGTAAAGATAATGTGATTATATTTGGTGACAAGGATTCACTAACTTTAGTCTTTAGTGCAATTCAAGATCAGCCATATGTATTCCAATCTTATATTATCCCTCAAATCATTCCAATTTTTTATAAACATTCGTGGCCTTCATTTTTCCACTCTGTTTTCTTCTTATAATTTTTAATTTCCTTTTCGAAATTTGTCTTTATATTCGAAATGCCAAAATACACAATCCTTCATTCTTGATCATCTAAAACGACAACGTTTTGGGTAAACGTTTATGTATGCAAATTTGCTACTACTTTTCGTGACCTTTGATTTCTGTGTTGTGATTTACTACGAAACCACTTGACACCAAAGGTTATTCTTTCTTCTTTCCTTTCGATTATTTTTTTTGGTTTCTTTCTTTTAGCGTTGAGTTCGTGATTCCAAGATCAATGGTTGTGAACTTCATTAGTTAGAGATACAATATCATCAAAGAGATGATTCTTCCGAGAACTGGGTAAATCTTCGATTCTGTGTTTCTGGGTAAGAATGAGAATGATTCTCAAAAGCAACAAGTGTCAAACAATGATCAAGGCTCTTCCTTTTTTTTTTCTTGCTTAATAATTCTGATTCTCTTCGTTGTTTTCGTCGTTCCAGTTTCTGGGTTTGATTTCTTTCTTTTAATGACTCAGAAGTCAGAATCTTCCGTAGAATTTTCATCTTTTGATTTGATTTATTGGGTCACCAAGATGTTTTTGTTCTCTGTTCTTTGATTTCTTGGTCTTGATAGTCTCTGTATCACTCTGCCTCTGAATTCTCACTGTCACTGATGTTGCTGTCTACTAAAGCTTATTTAGTCCTGTTTGGGTCACTGTTCCATATTTTTGAATCAAAAGTTGCTAACTTTGTGTTCGATGATTTGCTTAAGTATGATTCTTTTCATTTCATGGACACTTGATTCTTAAGTTCTGAGATCCCATTATATTATAGAGAACTTGAATCTTGGTTAGAGGATTTTTGAAGTAACACTAGAAAAATCTGAGATTGACTCTTAAATCTGATATATAACTTATGGTTGCTTCTTGCGTTTGTTCTCAACAGATTGAAGAACCAGTAACCTATTTTCAAGTCTCGGGTTTGATTTGATGGCTTCTTCAGATGATACATTCTCACAAGTGTTTGATATAGGAGTAGAAGAAGAAAAAGAGTCTTTTTATGCTCCTGATGATGATGTCTTGACTCTGCTTCAACCTACTTCACCACCAACGATATCTAGTGCCAAGAACATTCCGAAACCTCCTCCTCTTCCTTGTATTACCTACCAGCGTTTCCAAGCTAGTAGAAGGAAAACTTCTAGCTTATCGCACCTTGTGCCTAAAGAAGCAGTAGAAACTTGGGATAAGCTTTTCAAGGAAGGATTTGGAGCAGATACATATGTTGAAACCGATAACAAATCTCGCTTTCCAGCCCATTCAAGTGTCCTGGTGAGTTTTATTAACTGGTCATTGAGCTCATTTCCCGGGCTTACTGATCAATAATACAAGGTTTTGTCTGCTGCAGGATGCAGCCTCACCAGTTATGGCGAAACTTTTGAATCAATCTAGGGATAAAAATGGGAAAACATACCTCAAAATCCCCGGAGTGCCTTGTGAAGCAGTCTACATGTTCATTCGGTTTGTATACTCTTCCTGGTATGTTCTATGTGTTCAAATGGAAATTGCTTTCGTAATGCTTGTTTCTTCTTTGAAGCATGCCTGATATAAAAACCTGCAGCTACGAGGAGGAAGAAATGAAGAAGTTTGTGCTCCATTTATTGGTTCTGTCACACTGCTACTCGGTCCCATCTCTTAAAAGAATTTGTGTAGAGATTCTCGATCAAGGATGGATTAACAAGGAGAATGTGATAGACGTGCTTCAATTAGCGAGAAACTGTGACGCTACAAGGATTTGCTTTGTATGTCTTTCCATGGTCATCAAAGACTTCAAATCTGTATCTTCAACAGAGGGATGGAAAGTGATGAAACGCGCTAATCCTTTGCTCGAACAAGAGCTCATTGAGGCAGTCATCGAAGCAGACACTAGGAAACAAGAAAGAAAGAAAAAGCTCGAGGAAAGAAAAGTGTATTTGCAGCTCTATGAAGCCATGGAAGCTCTTGTCCACATATGTAGTGAAGGTTGTGGGACAATTGGACCTCGCGATAAGGCCCTTAAAGGAAGCCATACAGTGTGTAAATTCCCGGCGTGTAAAGGGCTTGAAGGTGCGCTCAGACATTTCTTGGGATGCAAGTCTAGGGCTTCATGTCCTCATTGCAAAAGAATGTGGCAGCTTCTTCAGCTTCACTCTTGTATCTGCGATGATTCTAATTCTTGCAAAGTTTCTCTCTGCTGGTAAGGTTTATCACACATTTCAGACAACTCCCAAAACCTTAAGATACAGATTTTAATCTTTTTCTGAAACTTGTAGGAATTTCAAGGAGAAAATGAAGAAGCTTAGCAAGAAAGAACAATCTAAATGGCGATTGCTTGTAGAAAACATTATTACGGCGAAGAACAGTCTCGGGCCCTTCTCTTCACGTCCTTCTGGTTTGATATAGAACAGGTTTTACGTTTTAGTGTATAGCCAGTTAGCCACAAAAAGAAAACGTACATATGCGCAGGGTAAAGTGTATATTGTGCACCAATACGGCGCAAAATAGTGGTTTTGAACAAACATTGTCAATATCAAGTTGGTTGTTATATATATGCCGAGTCGTGATTCGTGACGGTCATGTGAAGAAGTTTTTGCATCATTGTACTCATCTTATGTATATATTATGTTAAGATTCAAATCAATAATAGTGGTCCTAAACGACTTTATTTAGAGGCAGACAAAAAAATATAATGAAGATATACATTAATGTTGTTTATAATATGCTCCTCATGACTAACCATATTTCAAGTTGATTTATCTAGTGAAAATATATATCTCATTCTCCTAGTTCATGAAAAATGAAAATGAAAACCTTCTTAAATGAGTACTTTAAGGATAATACTTCTCTTTGTAAGGATAATAATTGATATATACGGCGGGTCTCTCGTTGACTTTTGATGGTGTTTTGACTTTGCATAGTCAGCAAGAGCAAGTGGCTAATATAAATCACTTAACTATCAATTTGTTTATGTTTGGTCTTTAAGACTTACCTCAGAATCATTATTTTTCGTCTTTAAATGAAAACTTCAACCTTCATCACATCGAAAATCTCAAACCCAATTTTGGTTGTCTTTTTTTTTTCCTTGTTTTTCAAGAAACCAAACGAAAATGGAAGAGTTTCGTGTTCTCTATTTGATATATTCAGCAGCATTTGCATTGTGCCTCGTCGTTTCGGTTCTTGCACAAGACCAATCAGGTTTTCTCAACTGATTCCTTTATCTTTAAAACTATTTTCTAGTGAAGAAGTCTAATCCTTTAATCTTTTTATAACTTAACTCGTTGCATGATCATAGGTTTCATAAGCATCGATTGTGGAATTCCAAGTGGATCATCGTACAAAGACGAAACAACGGGTATAAACTACGTCTCAGATTCATCCTTTGTCGAAACCGGAGTCTCGAAATCGATCCCTTTCACAGCTCAAAGACAGCTTCAAAACCTGAGGAGCTTTCCCGAAGGTTCAAGAAACTGCTACACATTGATTCCAGTACAGGGGAAGGGCAAGAAATATCTCATAAGAGCTAGTTTCATGTACGGTAACTACGATGGAGAAAATGGTTCACCCCAGTTTGATCTGTTTCTTGGTGGCAATATTTGGGATACCGTCTTGCTCAGCAACGAGTCGAGCATTGTTTCCAAAGAAGTCGTTTACTTGAGCCAATCTGAGAACATATTTTTGTGTTTGGGAAACAAAGGCAAAGGAACCCCATTTATCTCGACTCTAGAGCTTAGGTTTCTTGGGAACGACAATACGACATATGATTCTCCAAATGGTGCTCTTTTCTTCTCCAGACGCTGGGACTTTGGCTCTCTCATGGATTCACCTGTTAGGTAAAGCTCTGTTTTGTACTCTGTTTTATGCTCTGTTTTGTGCTCTGTTTGATGCTCTGTTTTTCTTTCTCTGTTTCTGTAGCTCAAAGTTTACTTTTTTTACCAGTTAAAATTTGAAATCTGAAGATTTTTTGTGAATCAGATATGATGAAGATGTGTACGACAGAATCTGGATACCTCGAAACTTTGGCTATTGTAGAGAGATCAATACCTCACTTCCAGTGACCTCAGACAATAATAGTTACAGCCTTTCAAGTTTGGTGATGAGCACAGCGATGACTCCAACAAACACAACAAGACCCATCACAATGACTTTGGAAGACAGTGATCCAAATGTCCGGTACTTTGTTTACATGCACTTCGCTGAGGTCGAAGATCTTAGTCTCAAACCAAACCAAACAAGAGAGTTCGACATCGGCATTAACGGAGTAACAGTTGCTGCTGGCTTCAGCCCCAAGTATCTTCAGACAAACACGTTTTTTCTAAACCCTGAGAACCAATCCAAGATTGTGTTTTCGCTCATGCGAACCCCAAAGTCCACTCTTCCGCCGATTGTTAACGCTCTAGAGATCTACATCGCAAATAGAGTCTCACAATCTCTCACTAACCAAGAGGATGGTATGTGCTAGTATAATGACTAGCAAATTTCAATCTTTTTTTCTCAGTTTGATCAATGCATTCAATTGAAACTTACAGGTGATGCGGTTACGAGTCTAAAGATGATTTATAAAGTGAAGAAGAACTGGCAAGGAGATCCTTGTTTGCCTAATGACTACATTTGGGAGGGCCTTAATTGTAGTTATGATAGTCTTACTCCTCCCAGAATCACATCACTGTAAGTGTAATTTTATCTTCATCTCTTCTTGATCAGTCGGTGGATTTTGTATATTGATTAAAAAGTTCGTTGCTTGGAGGCAGGAACTTATCATCAAGCGGGTTAACGGGTCATATATCTCCCTCATTCTCTAACCTCACAATGATTCAAGAGCTGTGAGTTTATCTAGTATCATACCTATAATTTTGTATTTTGTTAAAGAGTTTTCTGACTTGAACAAGGCAACTCAATTATCAGAGACTTATCAAACAATGGCTTAACCGGAGACATTCCAGAGTTCCTGTCAAAACTAAAGTTCTTGAGGGTTTTGTAAGTTCTAGACATATCACAACAAAGTAGATCGATAACTATGGACTCTTAACTCTTAACAACATCTGCAGAAATCTAGAGAAGAACAAGCTAACCGGTTCAGTTCCATCCGAGTTATTAGAAAGATCAAAGAGCGGATCATTCTCGCTAAGGGTAGGAGAAAATCCCGGACTCTGTATCGAGATTTCTTGCAGAAAAAGCAACAGCAAAAAACTCGCTGTCCCGCTTGTCGCATCATTTGCAGCATTGTTCATCCTCTTGTTATTCTCTGGTGTGTTTTGGAGAATCAAAAACCGGAGAAACAAGTCCGGTAAAAATCTATCCCTATATCTTTCCTTTTACATACATATCTCTGTTTATCACATTACCAATTGTTAAAACTTTCTTTTGCAAAGTTAACTCCGCGGTGGAAGAAAATGCCGAACACAGAGCTACAACCAGTCCAATGCCGAAATCGGAGAACAAATTACTGTTTACCTTTGCAGACGTTGTAAAGATGACAAATAACTTCGGTCACGTCCTCGGCAAAGGAGGTTTTGGTACAGTCTACCATGGCTTCTATGACAACCTTCAAGTCGCGGTTAAAGTTTTATCAGAAACATCAGCTCAAGGATTCAAAGAGTTTCGCTCCGAGGTAATGTAGATATTGATTCCAAGAAGATATACAAATTAACACTACCTCCAAAATCATAACCACCTATATATATTCATATAGGTCGAAGTTCTTGTGAGGGTTCATCATGTAAACCTCACTGCGCTGATCGGTTATTTCCATGAAGCTGATCAAATGGGATTGATCTATGAGTTCATGGCTAACGGAAACATGGCGGATCATCTCGCGGGAAAGTATGAGCACACATTGAGCTGGAGACAAAGGCTTCAGATTGCACTTGATGCAGCACAAGGTATGAACCAAAGTGTCGATCTTTAATCTTTAGGTTATTCATTAATCTGAAAGTTTTAATCTTTAACAAAAATATCTATGAAGGGCTTGAGTATCTTCACTGTGGATGCAAACCTCCGATAGTTCACAGAGATGTGAAGACTTCAAACATATTGTTAAACGATAAAAACAGAGCAAAGCTTGCAGATTTCGGACTCTCACGGAGTTTTCATACAGAGAGTCGTTCTCACGTATCCACTCTAGTCGCTGGAACTCCTGGATATCTCGATCCGCTGTCAGTTTTCTCTCTTATCAATGCGTTATCGACCAAAACATCGAATGTTTTAGTGATTGTATGCTCTGTTTTAAAAAACAATGTGCAGATGCTTTGAGACAAATGGGTTAAACGAGAAGAGTGACATATACAGCTTTGGAGTTGTTCTATTGGAGATGATTACAGGCAAAAGCGTGATCAATGAGACACAAACGAAGCGTGTTCATGTGAGTGATTGGGTGATATCGATCTTGAGGTCTACGAATAATGTGAGCAATATCATAGATTCTAAGATGGCAAAAGATTTTGATACAAACTCTGTTTGGAAAGTTGTGGAGCTTGCTTTGGAATCTGTTTCACAGAATGTCTCTGATAGGCCAAACATGCAACAGATTGTTAGAGGATTGAAGGAATGTCTTCAAAGAGAAGAGAGTAACAAAAATTATTGATGTCACAACGTAATGGTGTAGAAGAAGTAAAGGGGTTGGAAACAGAAAGATGTTTATATATTTATTTCTTGAAGGCTTAATTAAGTTTGTGTTGTTGTCTCTAAAGCCCAAGTGATAATGGGATAAACTCTTCTTATTTTCAGCAGTTTGGTTCGCTTATTTAAGCATTTTGGTGAAATTATCTATACCTAAAAATTACTGTATTTGAAAAGTAGCCAAATTTCTAAAATCATAAACTAAAACTAACTTTCCTCATGTGCAAATTTACAAAATATACTTACTAAATTTGGATATCTAGAGAATGAACCAAGTCTAGTTATTATAAGAGTAAAAATACAGAATATGTATTATACTTTTAAAATTACTATATCTACAAATCCTTTTGGCTGTTCATTTCGATGTTCTTTACTTCTTTGCATTGTAGTTGCTACTGTTCAAAAGCTAAAAATGAAGTTTTGAATTGGCTCATAGAAAGGAAGAGCACAAAAGAGAGAAAGAGAAACAAAGAAAAAAGTACCTAATCCGGTCGCCACAAGGAAAAAAGAGGACAAGAAGATGGTGACAACAAGACATAGACCAAAACCGTGTAGGACCACAAACGTACCTTTTAAAGAAAACGCTGATTCCTTTCGGACTTTTGCGTCGCACGGTCTGTGCCGCTGTCCCCACAAATCTCTATTTTTTATTCACGCGATCGCATCCTCTGCGTCAGCGTTTCGAAACGTGATTCTTCTAACCGCTCCACGTGAGTGATTCTTAGAGCGAGTTTCGTATCCGAACCCACGAGCGCGCGTCTCCTCAACGTCTTGAGTCTCTCTATGAAGTTGCATTGACGTCGGACGAAATTTTAACTTTTGTCTTATACTAATTCCTTTAGATTAATCAAATCTAACTAAATTATCATAACTCAACATTAAATTCTCATCTAGTTACATTCAACGGCTATAATAATGAACAAGTTTTTTGATTATTAAAATAATGGTAGACATTATGTTCAACGAAGTGATGTTTTTCTTAACATTATTAAGCAACTGATTGATTTGATTGATTGATTTATATATTTTTATCTTGAAATATCAACAACAAATGTTTTTATTTTTAACCTATCTAGTTGAAATTTTGGTTGATTATAAAGAGAAGAGAACAAAAATTCAAAGAAAGAAAAAGCAAAAAGTGGAAAGTAGAAACGAAAAGATTGATGGTGCACAGAGTTTGGTCAAATATGTTGACAAAATAAATAACCTTCCAAATATCACTACCATTCAATAAATGAAAAATAGTTCTATCTATCTATAATAATAATAACGAATAATGTTGGAAAATAATAACAATAAAAGCAACTTCTACCTGGGACTGATATTAACTACGAAGACCTCTCACTCTCTCAATGGGTTGTATAATAGCTGTCAAATTATGATGTATGTAGTCTGAAGAAGACAAAAAGACTAATTCTTAACACTAATGACTTAATTAGGGATTGGTCTTTACTCTTTAGTCATTTGTTTCATCTTTACTATAAAAGTTTGCAGAGTTGTGGGGGCAAAATATGCAGCATGCTTCTACTCTTTTTACTTTCTTTTAGCTAAACTAAGAATTACTTATGTATCTAACACCTAATTGGTTGACAAAAAATATAACGCTAGAAGTCCCTGGACCATCTAAGTAGTAGCATCTAGAGATTTTCTGAACAAATTTGTAGCTTGTTATAGATTTTACACTCGTTTGACAAAATTATAAAAATATTTGATAGTAGACAAAACTGAAAACTCTAGAATTATACGTCTACATAAAATTATTTAAAGGTGAAAACATTACTTCACCCAAAAAGAGTCGAGAGGAAAAAGACATATATATGTATAAAAAGAAGTTCCCTTCTACTTGCTTTCGTTTGGAGCATAATAAACAGAGACAGTTTCTTCGGTTCTTCTCTCTCTCTTTCCTTTTCTCACGCCGAGATTTCTGCGACTGCTCTAGTCTCACGACCTTTTAAGAATCGACGCCATCTTCACTCTGTTTTAGCTCTCCATCGTGTCACACATCACGATCTTGGACGTCTCTTTAAGCGCAAAACAAAAGACTGATGATGTGTACATATTACTAAATACGGGTTTGGAGTTTTGCCTTTTGGACGGAGAAAACTCAAGAGAGAAAGAGAGAGAGAGAGTGTGTCTTATCGGGTTTTGTGTTGTCAGAAGCTCAAGGACAAAACAAAAAAGCAATTATTTTTAGGGTTCAAACGAAGAAATATTGGAAGTTTGGAACTTTGAGAAGTTGTGGGTGGTGGCTTCTTCAAGTATAAAGCTTTTTCTTAGACTCTTCTTCCAATTTGTGAGTCTATCTCTCTCTCTCTCTCTCAGTAAGCTCTTTCTCTCTCTCTCTCTCTCTCTATTCTTTATTCTTTCTTTATTTGCTCTGTTTCGTTCTTCTTCTTCTTCTTCTCTGTTTCGTTTCCTTATTTTTGGCTTAATTATACAAATTTTAGTTTCTTAAAAGCTAATTTCAAGCATATTTACTTCTCTATCCTCTTCTTGTTGCTAATCTTTGATTTTGATTTCGTTTATACAATTCCCGTGACCAAAAAAAAGTTACCATCTAAGATAATGTTTTTTTTTTTTATTTTGATAAAATCTAAGATAATGTTACCAGATTTTCTACTCATAATTTTGTTTTTGTAATGCAATAAGTCGAGTTCTTGTTTACATTTAACTTCAATAATTCTCTGAGAGTGACTTTTTGTTCTCCTTCTGATCCGTGGAGGGTTCTGTGTGTGTGTTTTTTGTTTTTTGGGGGGGTTTTTCTCCTGTTTTTAGGGACTCTAGTGATTCATGCATATATGATGTTATTGTCTGTTTATGAGTATATGGAAATAATTTAAGCAAGGTATGATAACATATTTAATCTTTTGTTTGAGCTTATAATTGTGCTTAGAAACCTTAAAATAATGCTTAAGCTGATGTGAACTCGAGGCCTAGCATCTGACCACAAATCCTAGCCTACTTCGTTGACCATACCTTTGTCTTGGCTTACTAATCCAAATCCTGTCTCCCAACGCATGGTTGGTCCAAAACAAGAACCTCATTTCATAGATCTTGTAATCTTTTTGGTCTGTAATTTGCATTAGGATGGTAACCTCGTATCTCATGGGAAATGTCTTGTTAGTATAAATTTTGGTCAGGTTGTGTTGATGACTCTTAAGCGCATTTCTTCTTATTGACAAAAGGTATGGAATTCTCTAGAGACGCTGGAATGATGATGGAGAACAAGCAGAATGTCTGCTCTCTCGGAGAAAGCAGTATCAAACGCCACAAGTCTGATCTCTCTTTCAATTCCAAGGTTTTGCTTATCCTAGTTTTCATGGATTTATCGGTCCATATAGTCTTTGGCTCAACAGATTGCAATGTTAGCAAACCAGCATGGTAATGATCCGTCCATCTTTGTTCTCTGAATGGCAAACAGGAGAGGAAGGACAAAGTTGGAGAACGTATTTCAGCTCTTCAACAAATAGTTTCCCCTTATGGAAAGGTAACTTTGTTTTCTTGTCAAGCAAATCAAGAGAATCTGTCTCTCAGCTCATACTTTTCTCTAATGTTCTTATACCACAGACCGACACTGCATCAGTTCTTCTAGACGCCATGCATTACATCGAGTTTCTTCACGAACAAGTGAAGGTCTGCAAGTTTCCCTTCATCAGTTCATTCATCTTCACCGAATAAACATATGATTCTCATGTTCTTTTGTACAGGTGCTAAGTGCTCCGTATCTGCAAACGATCCCTGATGCTACGCAGGTGAGCATGATCTTGAATCTAAACTTCACTTATACTTGGTTCACTATTTCTACTCTGCATCTGACAGATCTTCACTTCGAACTTGATTATCTTGCACGGACTGACTTTCCTGTCCTTTCTAACCAGGAGGAGCTGGAGCAGTACAGCCTGAGAAACAGAGGATTATGTCTTGTTCCAATGGAGAATACAGTTGGAGTTGCTCAAAGCAATGGCGCTGATATCTGGGCGCCCGTGAAGACTCCTCTATCTCCAGCTTTCAGTGTCACATCTCAGTCACCCTTTAGATGACCAATTAGGCTTTTCACCTACTAAGATCTTTGTGTTAAGCCTATGAAGATGACCAATTGTTATTATTCTGATGATGCCTCTGTAACATATTTAGACAGAGAGACACATGATGTTGGTTTAGAACAGCTCATGGTTGGCCATGGCTGTTATTATTTGACTGCTTAATGCTTCCTCTTACTTTGGACTTATGTAATATACCAAACAGAAACCAAATGATTCTAATGCAAAGTAATCTTTATGCCAAAAATTGCCTAAGATATCTAAGCTTTTTTGTGATTCTTACCTAAACAATCCAATACATATTTCCAGAACTAAAGATCCAAGGCAAGCTTTAGACCGTTGATCTCCCTATTACAAATTGAGAAGACATAACATGATAACGGTAATGAATTTTACTTGTAATTGTACCAAACAGCTGATCACAAAATTAAGATTATCCTTTCATAAGACCACTGGATTAAATACATTTCCACTGAGATTGCAAAGGTTCAGAACATACAAACTGTTGATACTGAGGGACCAAATAGCTTGGAGAAAGATAAGATAGTCTGTTATAATGTGTTTATAACTACTAGACCACAATGCTTTGGCATATGTAAATGTGACAGGTAAGATCTTCTTCTTCAGCCCTACAGGGAATAAAACTAACTTGCTGCAGTAGGCTTGACCTTCTCTCGCATATACTGCAGTAGATGTTCGCGTTTCCAGTTGTCGATTCTGGAAAGCAAGCAAACCAAGAAACAAAGAGGGTCAGCTACAACTTTGGAGGAATGAAGTTGTGTTGCGGATAGAGGATGAGGTGTTAAACACATCACTTATTCATGCTAACAACGAGAGCATCATCTTCCAAAAACCAATTTTAATTAGAGGTCTATGTAATGATACAGCAGAATATAACAGAGCACCAAGAGAGTGAGATTAGAAACTGCTGCAGATCCATGGATAGTTATGTTTGATCTACCAAGCTAACATGGATATATCAGGTCACCTTGAACGTCTTAAATCAGATCAACTGGTGCCCCACCCAAACTCTAATACTAAAGATTCTAGCAAGGAGTTGAGCAAAGAGGGGGTAAAGCAATTTATTTACCTTATTGTTTCCTTATGTTCACCATCTTCGTCCAGCATGATCAACTTGGGTGGTGAGTTGAAAATGTACTGAACTTTGACGCTAGGGAACTTTTCTTTCTCTTCTTCAATGAAACCAACAATTTCAGGATAGAAAACCAACTTTCTCATACACACCTCTAATATAGCGCCGGAATAGGTAACCTGTAATCGCCAAAAAAAAAAAAAAATGTAAACGAGTAATCGCTCTCTCCTTCTCTTCATTTATATCCATGTTATAGAAGATGTTTATGTCTTCTATTCTCAGTAACAAACAAAAGCACTACAAATTCCATGGCGAGTAATCATACCTTGCTCATGGAATCCTCAGAATCATCAGCACAACATTTCAAGCAATCAGATACCAACTCTGCAAACAAGATCAATATAAGATAACCAAATTTGTAATTCAAATTCAGTAATCCCCCTTCTCAAAACCATAAAAAAACACTGTGAAGAGAATGATGAAGCTCATAAATCCACAAAAACTAAAGACATTCTTCTCTTCTTAAATCTAGAATCTTTTTGAGGGGAAAACAAAACTGCAGTAATCGAGATTCAGATCAAATCAAGCACGCATAGAAAGGAACGAACCTTGGTCCTTAACGTATTCAGAGAGTGAGTGACAATCGGAGCAGAGAGCAAGACCGGTAAACCCTAGATCCTCACATTCTTTAGTGCTGAACTGCTCTTTCGCTGAGATCGTCGATATCAACATCAAAATCATCATCGCTGATAATACAACCATCTTCGCCATCTTTCTCTGCCTCATCAACAGATCCAAGTCTTCGCGAAGATCCGACGCTACTGTAATGTCGCTGCCTTGCTATGATCTGATCCGGTCAATTCCGGTTTTTCAAATATCCGAAAATGCAATCTTGGTATAGAGGACATCATCTCCGGTTTATAAATAGAAAACCAGAGAAGTCTTTTTTTTTTTTTTTTTGTCGACCATTTAACCGGAAAAGTCTTTAACCGACGCGAAAAGTGTTAAAACTTAAAACCCATCAATTACATTGCCAGCGACTGCGAGAGCATCTAAAACCCCTAAAACCCTAGAATCAAAATCGCCCTGCGAGATCGAGAGAGACGATGGATCACATAGCAGCGGCGGAGGAGCAAATTATAACGGAGAGGATTAGAAGAAAACTTGAAGAAGTTAATGCATCTGCTCAATCGCAACTCTCTCCTATTCAAGATCACATCAATTTCACCCTTCAGGTATCTTAACAATCATATATTACCTTTTTATAGCTGTGTGTTGATTTTGGTTCGGGTGAACAATTTACCAAAAGCCGAAATTTCAATTGAACTATTGCTTTATCTTGTAATCGCAACAAAAGACAAAAGCTTTTTTCTATTCTTTTCCATATAGTGTCCAATTCAAGGCATTAATCTGTTCTAGTAAAGTTCACTTGTAGTGAATCTCTTTCTAATGAAGTTTTGTTAGCTAAATTTTGCTGCCCTTTGAGACAATCTGTGTAGTTAATAAAGCCATCCGTTTAACATGAAAGTTTAGTCTCTAAAGTATTTTGATAAGAAGCTGTGTCTTCTTGTAGTCATGTTAAGTTCCTCGAAACTAAACCTTGATAGTTTTCATTATATCTCTGCAGCTATATTATATTAACTCAAGTTGTATGAAAGTGTTTTGTTTTCGTATTTATCTGTTAAGTTGATGACCCTCTGAATGGTCAATTGCAGCAAGCTTATTTCAAATGTGCATACGAGTGCTTTGACAGAAATAGGAAGCAAGAGGAGATAGCCAACTGTGTTGAGCACTGCAGTGTTCCAGTTGTCAATTCTCAACAGCATTTTGAAGGCGAAATGGCTCAGTTTCAGGTAAGATATGATTTTAAACTCACAAAGACTGCATTCTTTTGCTAATGTGCTGAGAAACTTGCAATTGTAATTTGATGCAGGAAAGGATGAACAGATCTCTCATGGTCTGTCAAGACAAATTTGAGGCGTCAAAGCTCCATAAGAACAGGGTTGATGCCGCCAAAGCTATGGAGAGTTGTGTGAACACATCCATTGAGGATAGTCTCGATACATTGCCTCATATTGTGCAGAGAATGAAAACGTCATTCTCCATTGCCGACCAATAATAATCCTCTGTTGGGAAAAAAGGGCATCTTTTAATTTTCTCTTGCTTATCATATTGATGCCTTTTCATTATCACTTAATAGACCAACACAATGGATGGTAGGAGTTGTGTAGTGGTTAAGTATATCAGACCATATGCTAAACATTTTTTACTTTATAAAGATCTTGAACAAGCTTTTCACAATGTGGCACGAGGCATACACAAATCAAGTCTCAGAAACTGGATCTGTATTCAATTGAAAGATCTAAAAACTAATGTGTTTGGAAAAGGAAGTATTTATTGGTAAATCAAACCTTCTAGCTGTACTTTCTTTAAATTTGAGGAGCTAATTACTGGACCAAAGTCATCTTGGTCTTAGGTAAGCGTAATAAATAACTTTGAATCGAATCAAACCCTATCCGATTTTATTCGGTTTCGGATTATCCTTTAGGGGTTGTAGGCGGTCGTAGAACCTCGCCTATATAAAAATAAATGCTAACTTACTAAACCCTTAAAACCCTAAAACCTCCAGAGACAGAGAGAGAGACGATGGATCACAAGGCAGTTGCGGAAGAGCAAATCGTATTGGAGAGGATTAGGAGAAAAATCGAAGAAGTAAATGGATCTAATCAGTCGCAGCTCTCTCCTATTCAAGAACATATCAGTTTCACCCTTCTGGTACATATAAATTTTTACAATCATTTTAGTACATGTTTGCGTAGTGTTACTGTACTTTCTCGTACTTTAAAGGGTATCATGTTCCTCAAGTATTGCAAGGGTCTAGAAGAGATGGCAACAAGTTTTATGAAGTTAGTTACTTTGAGTTTCCTTAAAGATTGATGCCCCTTTGAATAATGATGAATTGCAGCAAGCTTATTTCAAATGTGCAAACGAATGCTTTGAGAAAAGAAGAAAGCAAGAGGTGACAACTAACTGTGTTGAGCTCTGCCGTGTTCCCGTTGTCAATTCTCAACAGCAATTCGATAGCGATATGGCCAAGTTTCAGGTAAAAGCCCTAACTGATTCCAACAAGAAGTCAGCTTTTGCCATGTACTGAGAAACTTGCAATTGGTTAACTGATGCAGGATAGGATGAACAGATCTCTCATGGTATGTCAAGACAAATTCGAGGCTGCAAAGCTACAAAATATGAACAGGATTGATGCCGCCAAAGATATGGAGGGTTGCGTCAACGATGCAGCTGCAGCGTTACTTGGCGACTAAGCAACAAACGGTGTTAATTAGGGTTCTTTAAGTATTTCGTATTTCTAAGTTGGTTTGGATTTACTTGTTCTGAAATAGACTCTATCGCTTAAGGTTAAGTTGATTTGGATTTACTTGTTCTGAGATAGACTCTATCGCTTAAGGTTAAGGCTCCTATAGGCTATAGGAAGCAAAACGTCAAGTTATTGATCTTGAAAGAAAAAGAAAAAAAAAGTAATCTTCAAACCGGATCAAACCGGATCCTATTTTACCCGGTCTTATAAGTCCAAAGTCGGGTTTAGCTAGAGATAAAAGGAAAAAGTAAATTAAAAAAGTCACCATCTCTGTCGAATGGGTCTCCTTCCCGTCGTCGGAATTACTTCGCCGGCGCTCATCACCTGCAAAAGTCACGCCAATCCAAAGATACAGAGACTTAACCAATCTACCTCCGAAACCACTGTTTCATGGACTTCTCGTATCACCCTCCTCACACGCAATGGTCGATTAGCAGAGGCAGCGAAGGAATTCTCCGGTATGAGGCTCTCCGGCGTAGAGCCTAACCACATAACTTTCATTGCTCTACTCTCCGGGTGTGGTGATTTTCCTTCCGGAAGTGAAGCCTTGGGCGATTTGCTTCATGGGTATGCTTCTAAACTTGGTCTTGATAGAAACCATGTCATGGTTGGCACCGCAATTATCGGCATGTACTCCAAACGCGGTCGTGTTAAGAAGGCTAGATGTGTTTTTGATTACATGGAAGATAAAAATTCGGTTACTTGGAATACAATGATCGATGGGTACATGAGAAGTGGTCAACTCGATAACGCTGCTAAGATGTTCGACAAAATGCCTGAACGAGACTTGATTTCTTGGACAGCTATGATAAATGGGTTTGTTAAGAAAGGTTTTCACGAGGAAGCTTTGGCATGGTTCCGTGAGATGCAGATTTCTGGAGTGAAACCAGATTACGTTGCTATTATTGCTGCTCTTAACGCTTGCACAAACCTTGGTGCTCTCTCGTTTGGATTATGGGTACATCGTTATGTTATGAGTCAGGATTTCAAGAACAATGTCAGGGTGAGTAATTCACTGATTGATTTGTATTGTCGATGCGGGTGTGTGGAGTTTGCTCGACAAGTTTTTGACAAAATGGAGAAACGAACTGTAGTTTCGTGGAATTCTGTCATTGTTGGTTTTGCCGCTAATGGAAATGCACATGAATCTTTAGTCTACTTCAGGAAAATGCAAGAAGAAAGGTTTAAACCTGACGCAGTCACTTTCACCGGGGCGCTAACCGCATGTAGCCATGTAGGTCTAGTTGAAGAAGGTCTTCGATATTTCCAAATTATGAAAAGTGATTACAGAATCTCGCCTCGAATTGAGCATTATGGATGCTTAGTGGATTTGTATAGTCGGGCTGGGCGATTGGAAGACGCTTTGAAGTTGGTACAGAGCATGCCAATGAAGCCAAATGAAGTTGTGATTGGATCGTTGCTTGCAGCTTGCAGAAATCATGGGAACAATACTGTCTTAGCAGAGAAGCTGATGAAGCATCTTACTGACCTGAATGTCAAAAGCCATTCAAATTATGTGATTCTCTCGAATATGTATGCGGCTGATGGAAAATGGGAAGGAGCAAGTAAGATGAGAAGGAAGATGAAGGGTCTCGGTCTAAAAAAGCAGCCTGGGTTTAGTTCGATAGAGATTGATGATTGCACGCATGTGTTCATGGCTGGTGACAGTGCCCATGTTGAGACCACTAATATCTGCGAAGTCCTCAAGCTTATTTCTTCTAATTTGCGATTACAGGGCTGTGTAGTTGAAACCCTTCCTGGTGATCTCCTCAATGCTTGAAATCCAGGAACTTACACATCCCAATTTTTGCTCAAGTCCTGAGCTTGATATTATACATGTGAAAACTGATTCAAAGTAAGTGACGGTGCATCCATTAGCTCAAAATGGCTGACCACAAAGAAGCCTTATCGTGGTCTTCGAGATGATGAATTCTAGAATAAACCTCACTACATAACCATTGTTGCTTGCACAGACCTTTTTACCAGGCCCTACCAGTAAGTAGATTGAAAAAAGATCTGGGTGTACATCGCTATATAAAACCTAATGAATAGAGGCCACACAATGACATGGTGCTCTCGTGCTTTGATAAGCTTTGAATCCAAGCTATCTTACCTCGGTGGCCGTCTCCGCATGCCAATAAGGTAACTTGAATCCATGTGCATTCTTCTATGTCTGGTCATGTTATGGTGAAGTTATTGCTGGTTACTGTCAAGTTAGTAAACAGTTAAATAACTCTCACATTTTGCAACACTTTGGTGTTCTGTTTGCGTGGATTTTGTGATACCTTGGGCATCTTCTAGCATTTGTTTACCTAGCAGTGATCGTAGCACAGGGTTGATACAGCAAAAGATATAGGCAATAAATTAAACCATCTACAAGACCTGCTACCGTGAGTGTAAATATTCTCCAACAATTTCCTTGTTAATGCATTTTCTAAAGATAGTGATGTTCTAGGTACATCCGGTATTGTTACTGTTGTATCATAAATGTTAAATTATCTTTGACGATTATATGTTACACATATCAGTTTATTCATAGAAGCATTTCATATTTTTAAGCATGTAAAATCGGCAGAATAATAATTTAGTATACATACAATTTCAACCCAAAACAATTTTGGACTCTGTTTGCTCTTCATTGCCCGTATCTATTTTGGGTAGAACTGTTTTAGGGCGGAGATAAACACCGATGTACTGTAGTCCCGAGGCATCGTAAGTCCCATGGAAACCGCCAAACTGAGGAGATTTCCCGAGTTTAAAAGCAAATTTTTCGTAGCTCGAACCGGAGGTGCCAAAAGGACCGTACTCACTAGTGTTGGTAGTGAATTTGAGAGACCTTATGTGAGGATTGCTGGCATCATACTTGTAATACTCTCCACTTATTCCAGTGATGTACTCATGCGGATAGTTGAGCTCTATCTGCTGGGTCCAAATCACATATAAAGTGAAAAAGTTACAACCATGTTCTTGGCTTTTTAGTTGGAAGTAGAAATTGTGACGGATCGGAGAAAATAAAGAGTCAAAATAAGACTTACAACGTCAAACATGTTGCCGGAAAATGGACCGTGACGGTCGGATAAAACGAGTTTTCCGTCCATCACAAACTGGAATTGGATAGACAGAATTCCTCCAACGCTGTGAGATAGAAATATCTGAGAGATGAAGCCATCGTGAGATCCTTCGTCCCAGTTAACAATTGTACTGCTTCTAGCATCATGCTTCCCTACTGGTCCTATCTTCATTTTCCCTTCCATTCTTCTACGACCAAAAACTCTAAGCTTTTATTTGGATACATAACGAAAAACATTAATATATACATGTAGAGATTCATACTTGTCTAAGTTTGAAGTCTCAGATTGGAATATGCTTATCCAATTTGGTATTTGATAATTCATCTTACAGGATTCATTGTTTTATTTCATTTATCTTTGCTTCTCTCCATTACCCAAATTGTTTTAATAAAATGACTAATAGAGTTGTTAACGGAGATTCTTTAAGATCATAGCACTCATTTTGACGCCTCGGATTGGAATATTCGTTTCCAATCTTGCATAGTTTCATCTAGCAATATATTCCTTTCTTTCATGGGAGACTCACAAAAATGCCCTTTTTTCAATACCCCTTTTCAAAAATACCCATTTTTTAAAACTTTATAAAAAATGCTCTTAAAAATATAAGATTTACCCAAATATGTATGTAATATTATTAAAACATACACAAACTACATTTATATGTATCTAAAATCTTATAAATACTTAATAAATACCTTATAAATGCATTTTAAATACGTTTAAAAACCTTTAAAATATCTTGTAAAACCTTTGAAAAACCTTAAAAATCCTTTAAAATAACTTGTAAAACCTTTAAAAACACCTTATAAAACCTTATAAATACTTGGATCGAGTCTTCAAGTAGTAGTTACAATCCATAAGTACCTTATAAACCTAATAAAACTTTATAAAAATTTCAGATTTAAAAAGGGGCATTTTTGAAAATGGACATCTAAAAGGGGCATTTTTGAAAAGCGGCACACCAAAAGGGGTATTTTTAATAATTTCTCTTCTTTCATATGCTTTTGCGAGAAATAGTTACTAATTTTTATTTTTTTGGTTTATATATAGATGCAATGCATGATTATCTAATGATCATTACAATTTCAATTATATTTGGTTGTTTTAAAAGACAAAAATATTAATGTTTTATACAAATATTAGGAGTAGGACTATGTGTATTTAACTCAAAATCTCTTGAGTATCAACAAAAATTTCATATTTCAGCATACTTTCCTTTTGCGTTTGCAAAGAAAGGCAAATAAGCTGTGTTTTTTTCGCTTATAATTTGGTTCAACAAATATTTGTAGGTTATGATGACAAAAAATTAGGGTTTTTTACTTGCACGCCTCAAGGTAAAATATACTGATTTTATAAGTTTAAAACACTTTTCAATAAATTATACGTTGTAGTTTAGTTACACCTTCCCTAAAATTAAATAATGAAACCGTCCCAATTAATAATGTTTGTAACCGGCCCACGAATCGGCTAATAACGCTCCTTCAAGCAATCTTTATTAGGCCGCCGAGTCTCGCTAGATCCGAAGCCTGACTCGATCGGTCCCTTAACCCAAAGCGAGATCTGCGTCTGTTTGCCTCATCTCCGGTCTCTCGATTCCTGATTTCATCTAAAACCGATCGGTTTGGTGCTTTTGCCATGGCTGGAGTTATGCACAAGTTCCTTATTGCGTCAATGTTCATGTGGATTCTTCCTGTTGCCATATTATATGGATTCAACCACAATTTGCTTCCTGGTATGAACGATTAATCTCGTTGGTTTACTGCGATGCTCTCCAATTTTGATTCTTTTTTTTAGGATTACTAGACCTTTTTTGCTTCTTAGCTCAGTTGCAGAAACCTAGTTATGATACATTTTCGAGTTAATTCCAATACTGCTGTGTCTGAAGTTCACAAATGTGCAACTTTTCATATTTGTTATCTACCATTTAGCTTTATAGTTCGATTGTGACACCATTACGCTAAATTCTGCCTCTTAGCTTTAGCTTCATCGCTTATTCGGGTTTGGAGCACTTGAATTGTCACTGTCCTATGATCAGATGATCTTTGTAGTTTTTGATGTTCAGCGAAGAAGATGAAGTCGTTTTGCTTCAAAGCATCTTTTGAGGGAAGGGAAAGTTACCAACTAATGTTTAGTAGCTACTCAAGCATTATTGACTTCACTCATAGGAATGGAAACCCTAGTGACAATATGAATGCTTTCTATGAGTTTGTGAAGAAAGCAATTAGTTTTGGTGCTACTAAACGTCAGTTGGTAACTTTCACTTCCCTCAATGATGTTTTGAAGCAAAACGACTTCATCTTCTTTGCTGAAGATCATAAACTACACAAATTCTTGGAATCTTTGGCTGCTACAGACACTCTTTTATGTAGAAACTTTTCTCATGAAAGCAGTTTATTAGTCTCTTTTACTTGGCTGTGGTGGTAGTTTTAGAGAATCTCCATTGTACAACTTTTTGAAACTGCAAACTTCTTTAAAGTACACTCTCCCAGACTTGTAATATCAATATAGCTTTTTGATGATCTTCACATTCATGCCATTCGCTAACTGTTCCTTTGACGCCCACAAAGTTATCTGTAGTATTCGCTCAGCTGGTTGAATGTTATATGTTGACCTCAATACCCTTTTAGTGTTTATTAATATTGGACAGGTTCAACGACATTGTCTCCTCATTCTCTAACTCTACTGAGCGGATTTCTTGCTGTGGTATCAGTGAACATAGTGATTGTGTTCTACATATGTATGGCTCTGAAAGAACCTGCAGATAAACACAAACCAGACGCTGCATTTCTCGCTGAGGCTAAAGATAGTGTGAGCAAGTTGACAAAAGGAACCACAAGCAGTGATAATCATGCACTCAAGAAACAAGAGTGAGAACTTTCTTAATCCATTTTTGAAACGAAGAACAGCATCTGGGTTCAATCGAATGGAGCAGACCTCTGGGTTATCGAAATGGATGTTGTTACAGGATTCTGTGACATTTGAGGTTTAGGGTTGGTTAAACTAAGTAGCTGAAACACCTTTTGTGTATGATGAACAGAGACAAATATCCTAATGTTATAACACAAAGCTATGAACATAGTATCCGGAAGGATTAGACATTTGCCAGTTTTTTCTTCCCTCAATATGTAATCGGTGTAATGAATTAATCCACAAATGAAGAAAAAAACATTTTGTAACTTCTAAGTTCTAACATTAGGAATGATTATTAAAAATCAAAATAAAATAGGTATAAAATATTAATTTTATGAAAAATAATTTGTAAAGAAGCGGTTCTCGTAGTTTTCTTCGGAAGTTGTCAAAGAATCGCCAGATCTTCGCTTCTCTTGCTTTCGCTCACTACGGTAACTCTCTATCACCACCCTCTCTGTTTTGAATTCGAGATTCGAACTCCAAGATTTCGTTTTGGAGGATTGCAATCTTTTGGGGGTTTCGTCTTTCAGACAAAAAGAAGTAAAAGATTGCAAAATTGATCGTTGATTGGGTGGGGATGATCTTGGTCTTCTTGAGCTTAACTTGGGTTGACATCAGCTTTTAAGAGACGAAAACCCAGAAAGGCAGATAATTTGTCTAGAGCTTTGGGTAATTAGATTTTAAGGATAAATCTTCTGGAAAAAGAAGAAAAATTGAAGCTTTTTAAGCTGTTATTGTTTCTCTGCTTTTAGATATGAGAATGAATTACAGGTCAATTTATGTTCTTGAACGAGTCAGTTGTTTTGAATATTAAGTATGAGATAATGTCTGGCGTTGGATGAAATCAAAACTCTGGTTCTCACTAAAGGTTGTTCAATTTTATTGTGAAATTTGGACATGGTCTCTAGATATAAGCTTGAAAAATGGTTAGCAGAGGTGTTACTAGCTGTTTCCTTATGCCTTGTCTGAGACATTGACATATTGTTGACATTTTTTTTCCTTTTAATCTTACATCTTTTGAAGCGTTTTCTTAACGCTTTGCTTAAGTCAAAAGTAATGTGTCTCAGCTTATGCTTAATGGTGTCTTTTTCCTCTGGCAAACAGATCTCAGACTACAGTAACCAAGATGGTGTACGAAATAACTGAGCAAAAAAGTAATAATTTCTTCACAATTATGCTTTTGCAGTCGCTGTATAACTTTTTCTTGTGATGTTTCTGAGGTAGAACTCTTTTGGCAACAGATTTTCGTTAGTTGTAAGCATTTTGTCGGTGCGGTGTGAATTCTTTCACTTCTCTTTATATTGTCTTATAAACATTACTGAACAGGTCAAGGTAGATACTGGAGTAGATTTCTTTATAGACGTGTTATATCTCTTGATTCTCTTCTATAGGAATAGAAATCACAAACTTGATAAAGTACGAATTCTTTCGTGAACATGTTTTCTTAGATTGTAACATCTTCTATAAATACCTCTTACTGATTAAACTTCAATTTTTTTTGTCTTATGGTATCCATCTCTATAATCTTTTGCAGAAGTTGGGTTGGGCCTCATTGGTTTTGGTTTATCCTTTACGTTTCTCGGTGTCATCTTGTACTTTGACAGAGGTTTGCTCGCTCTAGGAAACGTGAGAATTTCCTTGCTAATTCTAAACATCAGTCTACAGAAGGGTCCAACATTTGAGTCTCATTTGGCTTTGTGTTCAGTTATTCTGGTTGATAGGTGTTGGCCTTTTACTTGGTTGGCAGTCGACTTGGAGAGTATTTACCAATGTTAATAACTTGAGGGTACGCATTAAACTAATTCTAATCTATGTTAATTGTTTCTCTTGATTAACCTTTCATAGCGACATATCAATTTGTTTGTAATTTCTTTTTGCAGGGGACTGTCTGTTTCGTCCTTGGACTCTTTCTTATATTTGTACGTTGGCCCATTGTCGGCATTATCTTGGAGATATACGGTGTCATTGTCCTATTCGGGTGAGATCATTTGTTTCTTTGGCTCATAGTTTCTTATCGATTTTTTTCACACATTTTGCTTTTGTAATTGACATATTAAAGCAGACTGAAAATGAGTAAACTAGTAGTTCTCTCGGAGCACACAAGGATCTTTTTGCCTACAGAATGTTTGACTAATAACAGTCCATATCTGATGAATTTATTTCCTTTCGCCAATCACTTATTACTTTATTCAGCTTCTTGCTCAAAGTTTCAGCCTGTTACTGTGTCTAACCAACATCACATATACTATCTTTGCAGCGGATTTTGGTCAACCGTAAAGGCATTCCTTTCCCAAATTCCTTTTGTCGGATGGATAATACAGTATCCTCTCATGGTAAGTAATCCTCAACAACACTTGCCTTTTCCTCTAATGCTCCTTCCTTTTGCTTTTCGAACATTCAGAGCTTCCTGTCATGGCCTTGTTCTTGAACAACATCCCGTGCTCCTGCCTTAATGCTTTCAGTCCCTTGTGGTAGCTAAGTTAGCCTCTCTCGGAAATGGATAGACCCAATAGACTTTTCCTGAAATTTAGTTTGTACAAGATATAGGGATCAGCATAAAGTGGATCAAATGATTTAGAGCTATGAACTGAATTTAGGTTTGGAATGATCTTCTTCTCTTTTTTTTGCAGGTTCTTGAGCAACTTGTAAGAGGTTCTCGTTGAAAAAGATTAATCTCAATCTCATATGGCTCTTCAGCCGCTTAACGACATCAAAGCCTCTCTCTAGAGAATTCCAAAACAACTTGCTGCTTACTTTTTCTTCTTCTTTTTTTAGAAACAAAATCAAATGTTTTTGCTTTCTTCTTTTTTGGGACATGACAGAGACTTTACTCTGTTTGTCTTTTAATCTTTGCTCTGTTTTACATGTCTAATTTTGCTATATATCCCAAAAGTACTTTATCCCTTAAAGATGATTTATGTTCTCGTTAAGCAAGTATTTGCAACTATAACTCCAATCTTGTGCCAAATTTAAATCAAATTCAGATGACAAAAAAAGAAAGAAAAATAAACTCCAATCTTGTGCCAACTCAATAATCTTCATTATGTAACGTGGGAATAATAGTTAAGTACTTTGGTAACGAATCAACGACATATTTAATTTAAGTTAACTTTTTAAATGCATTTAACTGAATAAAGTGTTCACGTTTTATTAATTAGTTTAATTTCGTACGGACATAAGTTTCTAAATGTGTCAGCCAAAGATCAAATTGTTTTCAGGATCAGACAGAGATCGAGTGCGGATTTTTCTCGGAGACATGTCTCTTCGTGCTTTCCTACTCGGCGATACATTGACCTAAACCCGCTTAATCTCCGACGACGATCCAGGACACACCAAATCACGTCAAGAGGGGAAAGAACCAAAATCAAAATAATCATGTGGATTTCGAGGTTGAAGAGAGTTAGAAGAACGATTATGGTTCTGGGCGTTGCCAATTTCGTCGTGATTGTTTCCGGCTGCGTTCTTACTCTCGTTTCTGACTCAGGTTGCGACAGCGCCGGACAACTATTTCCCCTCTTCGCCGTTTGTTTCGCTGCCGGCGTCAAACTCGCCGCCATGGTTAAGGTCGGTACTACTCAGGAACTCATGGCTATGACCATTATGGATTCTCCTACTCAGAACAACCACCAAAGAAAGGTGCTTTTCTCTTTCTTTTCAATTTACACTATCTCTCAATTGTGATTTTTTTGAAAAATCAAGTCTTTGAACGGTGGGAGTTGACTTAGTGTTAGAGAATGTTCTTAAGAATCAATAGGATTGTGTAACGAGCAGAATTGGTTCTGAGATTATGCATTTCTCAGTTAGTTTAGTTAGTGTTTTGTTGATTCTGTTATGTTTTTAATCTTTTCCTCTTCTTATTTGTTGGATATGCAGTTGAAGTATAAGACCTGGCTTTGGTGGACTCGCTTTGCAATGGTAATTACGGTATTGCAATTTATTGGTGCAACTTACCTTATGTTCCGTGTGGCCAAATATGTTTCCCGTGATGGATTGCCAAGGAATTGCGTTTTAGGTAAACTACTAAGACTCAATGTACATTCATGTGGTTGTCTAAAGTCACATACTTTGCCAGTTATAATCTTGATATGTATATTTGATGGGGTTGAACATGGCTTATCTTTTTACATTGATGTAATTGTATCTATGCACTTTTTCTTGCTTAAGAATCTCTTTAGTAACTTCCTTGCTCAGGGTTATCTCCAGACACTCGTGGGTGGAAGCAAACGCTTCAGGTTACCTTCTTGATCACAGTTTGCTTTGTTGCGCTGGCACAATGCTTTACGGGATCAGATATATTGCAATGGCGATCTTTCTATGCAACCCAAGATGATGCCTGGAAAGCTCACTACCAGGAAGTGTTTGACCATGGAATTCGTGAAGTTTTGTGCTGTCTTGGACGTCGTGAATATATGTAAGTTTTGTTTTCCTGATTTAATACTGAACTAATTAATACTCATTTGTCCTGATTCTGGAAGTTCATGTCTTGTTTATAGCAACTTTACTAGTTCAGACTCTTAGAAATTGATTGTCTGCTTCAGGGGTGTTATTGAGGAAGACGAAGTGTGTTCAGTTGCAAGACTATTAGGTGATCTTGTTTCATATCGTGCATCTGGCACTGGCCATTTGGAATTTTTGGCAGGTTAATATCTGAAACATAAATAAGCCTGACTGGTGTCGATGATGTTGTCTGCATGATCAAATGTTAGTATTTAAGAAGGAAAAATGTGGAGAGGTCTTTCAGGCTTTGAATTTTCAGTTTTTCTAATAGATTAGAGTACTGGGTCTGGAAATCATTTTAATCATGTCTTGTCATAGTTGACAACGTTTGAAGAGAGTTCTAGCTCTCTGAAACCTTGATCAACAGTCGGCAACTAGATTTTGTGATACTGATCTCTAAAAATTGGCAAGGCAAACCAGAGACTTCTCTTTTCTGTCTTTTACTATTTATCTAAATTCATGATATTATGTCATCGCGGATTACCTGAGTGATGAAGAGAGTTCTCAAAAGAAGTGCTTAAATTGATATGCTATGATGTACAGTTTGTGCTGTGGTCTCTTGTCTCTACTCTTCTTGCTAAGTAATCTCAGTGTGTGAACCTTATCTAATCTTTGTCTATTCAGGCCTTGCTCTGCTGCAGAATAATAGCCAGTTTCCAGAATCATATGAGGACTGTATGGAAGCTCCAGCATTTCATCTTCAGGAGGCTGCTATGTTGCATAAATTTGCAGAAGCTGCTTATACTGTA